GCGGGCGCCGCGCCGCCCGGCCAGCCCTCCCGTAACGCCGGCGCGCTCGCTGTGTTTCAGAGTATGTGGAGAAGCCGCTGAAGCTGGTCCTGAAAGTGGGAGGGAACGAGGTCACCGAGCTCTCCACCGGCAGCTCCGGACACGACTCCAGCCTCTTTGAAGACAGAAATGATCACGACAAGCACAAGGACAGAAAGCGGAAAAAGAGGAAAAAAGGGGAGAAGCAAGCCTCGGGGGAGGAAAAGGGCAGAAAACGGAGGAGGGTCAAGGTAAGGATGGCTGCGGGCGTCAGCCCCAAGATCTCCGGGGGCGGGGGTGCCCCACCTCCAGCCGCCGGCCTCGTCTGACAACTTCCTAGTGTCCAGTAAGACACTGGAAGCTTCAGATGGCCTGGGAAGTCCAGCTTGCTCTGTGGAGGAGCAGGGCAGGAAAGACAGCGAACTACCTGTGAGTTGGGAAGGCCTTATCCTTACACTGTTAAGAACTTGGAGCCTCGCACGGTGAGTTGTTGAGGAGCTGCTTCAAAGAAGCCTTTTAACCCAGGAAGGGTAAGGCATTACGCCCAGGGAAGCCTCACTGTTTGTCAGAATTAATACAAAGTGATTTGGACCTCTTGATTTTCATATATTATGAAATATTAGTGAATAACTGTTGATTCTCAGATCTCAGCCTCCTGAGTAGCTAGGATTATAGGAATGAGCCACAAATGCCTTCTAAAAGTTGAGCTGGTCATGGTTGTGCCTGCCCTAGAAAGGTTGAGGCAGAATCATGAGTCCTGACCAGCCTGGGCTACATACTGAAACCAAGTCTAAAAAAAGGCAAGTTTGAATGTTGTACTGGTAACACCAGGAATCAAAGTTAAAAACCACTTATATTTAGTAGGAAAGAATAAGTAGTGTTTGATTTGTAAGCTAGACAAAACAGTAACTGAAAACTTTCTCTCCAAGGATGATCCCATTCCTGTCTGGAATTTCCCTACAGTTCTGCACTAAATAAATTTTAACCTTTTACTGAATAACTTACTGTATCTTGAAAGTAAATGTTTTTTTGTGGGGGCTTTTTTGGTACCAGTCCTGTGGCTTGAACTCCAGGCTTGGCACTGCCCTTGAGCTTTAGTGCTCAAGCCTAGTGCTCTACCTACCACCTGATCCACAGCTTCACTTCCAGCTTTTTGGTGGTTAATTGGAGATAAGAGTTCACAGACTTTCCTGCCTGGGCTGGTTTAAACCACGATCTTCAGATCTTATCCTCCTGTGTAGCTAGCTACTAGTGCCTGGCTCTTGCTGGTTATTTTTGGCAATAGAGTCTAGTAAACATTTCTACCTAGGCTGGTCTAGGTAGAAATCTTCCAAGTGTCAGCCTCCTGAGTAGCTAGGATACCAGGCATGAACCACCAGCATCTGGCTATGAATGTAGCTTTTAAAAGACAAGAGTACTACAAGGCTGTTTTATACAACAGCATTCATGCATACTGCTGTGGAGTTTTACATTCTAAACTTGAACATTTTTTTCCTTTGGATATTTATCTCCGTTTCTAAATGTAGGCTTGTATTGCTGCTTAATGACTTTATAATTTACATCTATTGCTGACATTGTGATTCAAGAGACAAGAAATTATTATTTTTTTTAAAAATTACTGTTATAAGGTGATGAACAGGGGGCTTAAAGTACTGTTTTTATACCATTCATCCCCTTCTTTCACTTCCTTCATTCTCACAGTATAAGTTCAGCATAATTATTGATTAAATCAATATTTAGTGATTCTTTTTTGTTTTTGTGCTGGAATTGAGGCTAACTCAAGGCCTCAAGCTCTCACTTAGCTTCTTCCACTGAAGGCTGATACTCTACCATTTCTTGCTTTTTGCTATTTAATTGGAGAATAGAATTTTTCAGATTTGTCTGCCCAGACTGGCTTTGAACTCTGATCCTTGGCTTCATGAGTAGCTAGGATTATAGGCATGAGCCACCTGTGCCTGGCTTAGCAATGTTTTTTTCTTGACTGCATATTGTCTGTTATACCAGCCTTTGTTTAATAATACTTTGTATTGCCCTAAGTAGTCCTTTCAGTGAGTTTCATTGTGCACATTTTTGTATACTTTCATGAGAATAACTTCAGGAGAGACTTACAGTCTTGTTCCAACCACTGCCCTTTCCTGACTGCATTTATAAGTATCAAGATACACCTGTATATCTTGATGCCATTCTGCACTAAGATGCATTTGCATCTACCAGTTGAACAGAGTAGGGCAAGTAGAAGGTAAGTTTCCATTTTACTTTTTGTGAAGTGAATTTGCATTCAGTTCCACTTTCTAAGGACTAGAAACCATAGAACATTGGTAGATTCTGGGGTTGCTGGTGCTGTAGGGACTTTTGGAGTCTTTTTTTCCAAGTCAGTCTGGGCATGGGTAGGTGGTTCTTCTTGCTAGTATTACTTAGGGAAGGCATCTTCAGGTGCTACTCTGAGCTATTTTCTGCATTTCTACAGGTTTTCAGACTCATTGGTCTCTTCTTGAGAAAATTTAGCTATATGAAACCTATGGAGTCACACAGCTGGAGTGCGGGTGGCTCTGCTCTCAGTGCCATGCAGCAGGGACCAGGAAGGCATAAGGAGAAGATAAAAGAATAACCTTTCCAAACTTTTAGAATTTCTTTTTCTGCTTATATGTCGTTAGCTAAATTTTAATCCCTTGGCCACTCTACTAGGCCGACCCGGCCTCATGCTTGCTCAGCTGGTACTCTGCCACTTCAGCCACACTCCAAGCCCTGCTTTTTACTGTTTATTTTAGACATAGTCTCTCAGACTTTTCTGCCTGGGTTGACTTTGAACCTTGGTCCTCTAAATCTCAGCCTCTCAAGTAGCTAGGATTACAAATGTGAGCCACTGGCACCCCAGCAAGTTGTTGTCTTTTAATTAGGGGAAGTCAATAGGTTTATTGTACTCTGCTAAAACTCAGAAATCTGTTACTTAAGAAAATAAGCAAAAATTTGGGGAACGCAAGCTACCCAATACAAAATGCTTAGCTTTTTGTTGTTTGTTGTAGGGCTTGAATTCAAGGCATGGACACTGTCCCCAGCTCTTTTGCTCCAGGCTAGCCCTCTACCACTTTGAGACACAGCTCTACTTCAGGTTTTTGAGTTGTTAATTGGAGATAAGAGTCTCATGGGGACTTTTCTGCCCAGGCTGGCTTCAAACCATGGTCCTTAGATCTAGATCTCAGCCTCCTGAGTAGCTAGGATTGCAGGCATGAGCCAGCAACACCCAGCTTAACATTTGGTTTTAGATGTTGTACAGAAAGGTTACCATTTTGTAAGTCAAGTAATAAGTGCAAATTTTTTTCTAGACAGTGTCACCCATTCCTTTGCTTCCCCCAATTTTCCCCTAAAATGCTTAACTTTTTAAAGATGTCTTAACTGATTTTCTTTGTTTAGGTGAAAGCCTCAGACTATACTTTTTATCTGATTTATGTAACTTCAACCCCTCTGTACATCACCTTTATAATAACAATAAAAAATGTTTTAAGCCAGACTGTTTTTGTTTAAAATAGTAAGATCAATAGTAGAGAAACCCTACAGATAATAATATATGATCCTAACCAAAGCATTAAGTGTACAGTATGAGTTGAGGGTACAGTTCAGTGGTAGAACCCTTGCATGCACAAGACCCTGGGTTCAGTCATCGGCAATGCCAAAAAAATAAAATAAAAAATACGCTGTGTCTTAGTTTAACCAGACCGTAGTATAGATACTATCCCTGTGAAAGCATGGTGATTTCCCCTTCTCCCTTGAGTATTTGGATGTGCAACAGCTGGCAAAAAATTTACGTGCTAAGCTGGGTGCTGGTAGCTCATACCTGTAATCCTAGCTACTCAGAAGACCTAGACTTGGAAGATCACAGTTCAAAGTTAGTCTGGGCAGAAAAGTTGGAGAGAGTGCATCTTCAAAATAATCAATAAAATGCTTCACTTAGATTAAATGTTAAATTAAAATGTTCACTTAGATTAGTGGCATTTGGGACCAAGTGTGCCATGAGTACAGTTCAGAACTTTTTTTAATGGAGCCTCTTATTAATATTATTATTAATAGAGCCAATTGTGTTGAGGCATGGCTCAAATCATAAAGTGTCAGTTCAAAATCCTAATGCAGCCAAAAAGAAAAAGTTTCCATTCTAGATTATATTATACATTACCCTTTCTGACCAATGTAGCTTTAAGTTTTAAAGTTATATATGTTCATATTATCTAAAAGATGAAATAACAGTTCCTGAAAAGATGCTATGCAATCCAACCTGGCCTTGAATTCAAGATGCTCCTACTTTCATCTTCCAAGTGCTGGGATTACAGGTATGCTCCATCATGCCTAGCTTATGTCTCAGCTTTTCCCATTTTATGACTCTGTCCCATTGACTGTGATAAATAATAGTTCACAGTTACATCTGGGTCTTAGCAGTGATGAAGAGGGCTAGTGAAAGTAAGTGTACTGTCCTAAGTCCACACTGTTTTAAGTTTGAAGTGAGGCCTCTAGACCAAAGATGGGCAGTTGGCCATCTGCCTGGCTTTGTAAAAGTTTGCTGACTCTTGACACTGGCAGCTGGTACTAGTTCTTTTCACCTGGGGTGGGGGAAGGGAGGGGGAGGGGGACCACAGCCTCTAAAGCTGCCCTTGCTTCACATTTTATATTTAATATGAAGGAGGAATCTGTGTCTCTGTTCTACGTAACAGATATTTAAGCCTATAAACTTACAAAAGATTCATGCTGGGCTGAGAATGTGTCTTAATGGTAGAGTGCTTGCCTAGCCTGCATGAAGCCCTGGGTTCAGTTCCTCAGTATCACATCAACAGAAAAAGCCGGAAGTGGTACTGTGGCTCAAGTGGTAGAGTGCTAGCCTTAACACAAGAAATTCAGGAACCGCTGGGTGCCGGTGGTCAGGCCTGTAATCCTAGCTACCCAGGAGGCTGAGATCTGAGGATCGCGGTTCAGAGCCAGCCCGAGCAGAAAGTCCATGAAACTCATCTCTAATAAACCACCAGAAAACCGGAAGTAGCACTCTAACTCAAGTTGTAGGGCACTAGCCTAGAGCTGAAGAGCTGAGGGACAGTGCTCAGACCCAGAGTTCAAGCCCCATGACCGACAAAAAAAAAAAAAAGAAAAGAAATTCAGGACAGTGCCCAAGCCCCAGGACTGACAAAAACAAAAAACAAAAATTCATGCCAATTTTACATAATACCTATATACATACTATATATATATATATATACATATATATATATACATATATATAATACAATCATATTTTTTTAATGGTGAAAAGACAGTTCACTTAGATTAATGGCATTTGGGATCAAGTGTGCCATGTGTACAATTTAGAACTTTTTTTTTAATGGAACCAATCGTGTTCTTTGTTAGGTGAGAATGGAAAATAGAATATGAGTGATTCTCCATAAGTGTGATTCCTGTACCAGAACACCCTGTCTGAGCCAGCAAGTTCAGGCTCCAGTACTACACACACAAAAAATAATACATGCTTACTCATTTTCAACAGATAATCCTGAAACCTTTTTCTCTAGAAATTGTTTCTGAATATTATCCATATTGACAACAAAATGTTAGGCCATTTATTTCACCTATTATGTAAAGATGGCATAATTTATTAGTGCATTTTCCCCTTAATAGCATGTGCTTGGTTCTAATTCTTTCACTTTTTCAAATAGTAGTGTAATAATAGTCTTGTTTCTATGTTTTGTGAAAGGGAGTTTTTCTAGAGCAGTGCTAAGATTTATTCTTTATTCCTGCTTGCTAGGCAGATGCTTTTTCACTTTAGCTACACTCTTGGCCCTGAGATTTATTCTTTTGTGTCTTATTTAGGGAAAAATTTCCCAACTCTTGGGTATCAGATATTCTTTTATCTGAAGATCCAAGGCTTTGATTTTATACATTTCCTTTTACATTTAAGTATGTAATTTGTTTTCTAATATTGTGGGAAGTAAAGATTAGATTTTATTTTCTTTTTTCATGTAAGTAAGCAGTTGTCATGGAGCTAACAATTTTTCATTGATTTATAATACTCCCTCTATGATAGTCCTATGTGTGGGACCATTTCTGGCCTTCCTAATATATTCTCTTGGTCTGCTTGGTTATTCCTATGTCCAGCTCATACTACCTTTATTACTATCACTTTATACTAATATTTGAGGTCTGGCAAGGCATATTATCATTATTGGGTTTTGTTGTTTTACAATGGTCAGGGGTAAAGAGTGGGGGGGAATAAACCTAGTGCATGTTAAGCAAATGTTCTACAACTGAACTACATTCCCAGACCTACAATATCTTATGCCCTTTTTTAAGCTATTCTAACTCTTGTGAATCATTTATTCAATATGAACTATGCATTGGCTTGTCATCTGCCATGATAAAACCTTGTTTCAGAATTTTGATCGGTATTACATTGAATTTGATTACTTTGGAGAGAACTGCGTTTCTCTTCATGTATATAGACAGTATAGCTTCTTTATTCAGGTCTTCTATGGCCTTCAATAATGTTTTATAATTTTTACCAAATGGTTATGGGAATCTTGTACTAAATGTATGTACTAAATGTATGTACTAAGTGTTTACTTTTCTGATTGGTTGTGACATATTTTTCTTTTATAATATGTTATTCTCTCCCTTTCCAGTAGATGGCAGTAAAACATATTAAAAAATTCTCCATTTTTAAGGTTTTTTTGCTTTCCAGTGGTTTTTTTCCCCCATTAAAACTACAGTGAATCCTAGGTTTGAAGCCCACTTGCGCAGGAAAGTCATTAACACTGTTATCTTCAATTAACCACCAAAAAGCCAGAAGTAGAGCTGTTGCTCAAGTGGTTAAGTGGCATCCTTGAGTAAAAAAACTAAGTTTAAGAGTACAAGCCTGGCTGGGAAGGTGGCTCAGTGGTAGAGCACTTGCCTTGCATGCATGAGGCCCTGGGTTCGATTCCTCAGCACCACATAAACAAAAAGAAAAAAGCCAGAAAGTGGCACTGTGGCTCAAGTGGTAGAGCGCTAGCCTTGAGCTGACGAGCTGAGGGACAGCGCCCAGGCCCAGAGTTCAGACCCAAAAAAAAAAAAAAAGAGTACAAGCCTCAGTCAGGCACTGGTAGCTCATGCCTGTAATCCTATCAGAGGCTGAGATTGAGGACCATGGTTCAAATTAGCCCTTCAAAAAAGTTTTCTGGAGACTATCTCGTTAACCACTCAAAAACCATAAGTGGAGCTCTGGCTCAAAGTGATAGAGTGCTAGCCTTGAGGAAAAGAGCTCAGGGGTAGTGACTCACACCCTAAGTTCAAGCCCCAAAAACTGACCAAGAAAAAAAAATATGAGACTCATAGTTCAAGCCCCAGTGCTAGCATACACATGCGCGCATACACAATCACATACCAAACACAGACTAAAATGACTTACATATTTAAAGGTGTTGATTCTAAAATCTTTCTAAATTTTCTCTCTTTGTTCCACTTAGGAGGATAAAAGGAAGCGAGATCGAGACCATGTGGAGAATGAGGCAGAAAAAGACCTCCAGTGTCACACCCCCATCAGATTAGAATTACCACCTGAGAAGCCTTTTACAAGCTCAATAGCCAAACAAGAAGGTTGGAACCATTGAGTTATCCATCCTAAGGAAGAAAGCCATTGCCTTATAGCTAGGGAAAGTGACTACTTCAGTTTCTAAGTTAAAGTTTAAAGATCGGTGAAGAAAACTTAAAATTTTCTTCTTTTTGTACAAGAACTTTAATTTTGATGCTAACCTACCTTTAACATGTTTTTAAGATAAATAGAATTTTTATATGAGATAATTATAGAAAGCAAGCTAAAGAGAGTACTACTGCTAGAATACCCCTTTTTAATATTCCTCTTTTCTGTCTGTTTGCTTTAGAAGTAGAACAGACACCTCTTCAAGAAGCTTTGAATCAGCTAATGAGACAATTGCAGAGGTAACTGTCTTTCCAACATTTCTATAAGATTTAAGGGGGAGTATAAGGGTCCAAAACACTTTTCATTTGTGATTACTGAAAGCCATGTTTTGTTTTGGTTTGGTTTTGGTTGGTCGTGGGTCTTGAACTCTGGGCCTGGGTGCCGTGCCTCAGCTTTTCAGCTCAAGGCTAGTGCTCTACCATGTGAGCCACAGTACCACTTCTACTTTTCTGGTGGTTTATTGGATATTAGAGTCTCTGGGACTTTCCTGCCTAGGCTGGCTTTGAACTGCAGTCCTCAGATCTTAGCCTCCTGAGTAGCTAGGATTATAGCTTTGAACACCATATTTTATGTCCTAAATCCAAACATACTTGTTTCAATGTGAATGGTAAATATTTGGGTAGGTAATAAAAGTATTCCAAGAGAGTAACTTAGATGTTCTTATTTGGTCTGTTTTAACTGCAGCTTAAAGGTTGTTTATGTAATGACAAATTTCTCTTTTACTAAAGTAATTTCTGATATCAAAATTTGAAACCAGAAATAACAGTATGTATTTCTTCTTGGCTGATAGATGGAAGTATTTCTGTATATTTATATGGGAACCTGTGAAACCTGTGCTGTATTTGGCATACTAAGTCTAGGAGGAAAAAATATGGTTTCTTAAGGTTTATGCCCTTTACTTGTTCTGTTTTTGTTTTTTGGAGCTGGTCCTGGGGCTTGAACTCAGGGCCTAGGCACTGTGTCTGTTCTTTTTTGCTCAAGGCTAGGGCTCTACCACTTAAGCCACAGCTCCACTTCCACCTATTTTTTTTTTGGATGATGGGGGTTTAATTGACTGTAAGAGTCTCACAGACTTTTGTTCTGCCCAGCTTTAAACTATGATCCTCAGATCTCAGCATAGCCAGGAATAAAGGTGTGAACCACCAACAACTGGCATTATAGATTTAAAAAAATAAATAAAGCCTCTATATTGTCTATTGTCAGCACAACTTTGTATTAAGGTCAGTAGTTGTTGGCTTCTTTTTTGGTGTCTAAGCAATTGAGAATATGACAGCTCTAGGTTTTTCACTTAAGTAAAACATGCATTAGTTGACCCAAAGAAGTAAACAATATTTATCGTGGACGGTAAATATTTGACCTGGTATGTCTATAAAATGTTTCAGCTTCCTATTTTAGAATAGCATATAGGTTCATAATGTCACCCTAAAAAAATTTACTTAAGGAAGTATTCAAAAGTGCAAAGATGTTAGCATTGCTCAGGACATTTTGGGAAGTAGAACCCAGAATCACATATTTTTTTTCTAATTAGCCTTAGTGATTGGATGATTCTTTACCCTTGAGGGATAAAACTAGGCCTGGTTTTAAAAGAAATGTACTAAACCAGGAAGTGGCACTGTAACTCAAGTGGTTGAGCACTTGCCTTTAGCTATAGAGCTCAGGGATAGCGCCCAGGACAAGCATTCAAGCCCCATGACCGACAAAAAAGAAAAGAAAATCCCTAAAAATGTACTTAATCAAACCTTGTAATTCCATTTTTTGTGGCTTTATGACTTCATATAAATTGAGAGTATGATTTGCTCGGATTGTTTTAAGTGGTCATCTATAGATTAAGATGATTGATATTCATAGTAACTATTATGAACTGCACAGATTTCCATATGGATATTTTTACATATTGTCCTTATTTACTTTTGCAGCTTAGATACCTTTCAGTAAAAAGTAGCAATAGAATTATACCTGATCAACTTTCAGATTTTTTTTTTTTTTGCCAGTCTTGGGGCTCAGGGCCTGGGCACTGTCCCTGAGTGGTAGCTCAAGGCTACCACTCTACCACTTGAGCCACGGAGCCACTTCTGCCTTTTTCTGTTCATGTGGTACTGAAGAATCAAACCCAGGGCTTCATGCATGCTAGGCAAGCACTCTACCACTAAGCCACATTCTCAGCCAACTTTCAGATTTATAATTGCAAACATGATTTTTCTCTCTCTGAGCCTCAGTATTTTCATGTTAGTGAGGCTACCATTACCTTAATGGCTTTTGTGCAAATCAGATATAAAATACCTCACTTGGCCCTGAACCTGGCAACATGCTGAAAACATAACATTGTCATTGGACTTTTCAGAAACACTTTTGCTGTTATTTGGCATAAGAAAGCTTTGTATGCCAAATTGTCAGAATAGAAAGAAAATCTAGTGACTCAAACATGCTGAGCACTGTCAGCACAGAAATACCAATGCCAAATACTTCAGTACCAGTATTGTTCCTTGATGATGGACATACTATTGACTTTACCCTATCTTCCTTTATGACACTGACTTACAGGGCCAGGGTGAATTTTCTCTATTCCATCCTCAACAGAATTTTTTTTCTAGTTCTGATTTTAACATATAACCAAATGTGAAAACATACTGATAAAGCACTGTTTTCAAATAAACAATAGAAATTATATGCATTGATTGAGAAAACACGCATTTTTGCATCAGGAGTGCAAGCCTATTAGTTACAGACTTAGTATGGAGGAGTGCAGATGTGTATTCATTTATCATTTCTGCTTTTTTCTCAGTGGTAGATAAATGAGATATTCAAATCTCCCAAAGACTAAGATATTGGTCAGTTTTTCTAGGTTACTTGTTTTGCTTTCTTTTTCCCCCTGTGGAGAAGATTACCAAGGTTACATGTTTAGAAGAAAGGGTCTGTGTCTTAAAAATACAAGTGTGTACAATGGAAATAGTGTGTACATTAGAATAAGATTGTGTCATTTGCAGAGAAATGGATGTATGTAGAATAAACCATGTTAAATGAGGTAAGCCAAGCTTAGAAAGACAAAAACAGTGCAAATTGTCTCTCATATATGGAAGTTAGATCTAAAATACACTGGGCATGATAAATTATACAGGACTCTAGACATTCATACACAATGAGACTAAAAGACGGTTTCCTTAGGGGAAGAACCCAAAGGTGACGTGTAAAATTTTACTTATTAAGTAGTTGCCAGCCTTGAAAAACATTTCTTCAGTTTTTTTAGTGAAAAACATTTTAACATAGTACAAATTCTTTTCACATCTGAACTTCTGCTTCTAGACCAGGAGTTTTTGGTAGAAATAAACCACAATTTTGCCTTTTGCATCTCTTCACAGAAAAGACCCAAGTGCTTTCTTTTCATTTCCTGTGACTGATTTTATTGCTCCTGGCTACTCCATGATTATTAAACATCCAATGGATTTTAGTACCATGAAAGAAAAGATCAAGAACAATGACTACCAATCCATAGAAGAACTAAAGGTAATTATTATTTGTTTAGTAGAATGAACTGTGAACAGACTAAACTATATCTTTGTTAAAATGAGTCAACATCTTGTTAGAAACTTGCATATTTAATGCTCTGACACTTTCTGATTGACCTTTTATTTTACAAAGAGAGTCCAAATCTTTTTTTATTCTCTAAAAGGTGTTTTTTTTTTAATGTGAACTGAATGATAGAAAACCAGACAACTCTTTTTATTCTACTTCTATTTATTTTTAAATTTTGAGTACTGAGGAATTTAACTCAGAGCCTCATGCTTGCTAAGCAGGTACTCTACCACGTAAGCCACAGCTGTAATCCAAGATTGAAATTTTTAATTCAAGATCAGTAAAACTAATATTTTAATAAAAGTTACACGGAAAGAACTTAAAAGCCACAAATATCACATACATGCCAATGTTATCGTTGAGTTTTCCTCTATCTTTAAATAGTCATAGTGTGTTTTGATTTTATGGGCATACTTTTTTGGTGTGTGTGTGTTAGTTGTGGGGCTTGAACACTGGGCCTGGGTGCTATCCCTGAGCTTTTTCACTCAAGGCAAGAGCTCTACCACTTGAGCCACAGCCCGTGTCCGGTTTTCTGGTGGTTAATTGTAGATAAAAGTCTCATGGACTTTCTTTCCTGCCTGGGCCAGCTTTGAATTATAATGCTCTGATCTCGGCCTCCTAAGTGACTAGGATTACTTGAGCCATTTTGCATTTTAATCTTACAAAGAAACCATGTGTGTTTAAAGTTTTCTTTGTACTAATCTACCACAAATTTAACTAGCTTAAATAATCATCTTTATTATTTTCTATGTAAACATGTTAGTAGTCACTTGATCTAAGGGCTAGGCCCTAATCAGTTACAGAAGGAAAATAAGTTAGTAAACAATTGTCTTCCCATTTAGGGGTGGGAGAGGGGAGTCTACATGTTCTCAATCAACTGAAATTTATGAAGAACACCAGCATCTAATTTTCTTTACTATTAGTGTAAGTTAATAATCTGAATTCCATTCTCATTAAAGAAATAGAAATATTTCCCAACTTTTCTTCTGGTGAAAATTAGGCCAAACTTATTTATTTCAGCATATTTTAGATTTTGTTGTTGCTTGTTCTTTTTCTCTGGTCTTTCTCTGTGGTACAATGGAGAGTTGTGTGTCCCCTGAGTGTTGGGGTTGCTAAGCAGAGTCAGGTTTCTTACATTGAAGTGAGGTGTTTTAATTTCTTGGAGTTTTTCCACATTAGGAAAAGTATGCCCAAACATTTCACTTCATGAGTGACCAAGTGCCATTACATAAATGCCAATAAAGGTTAGTACATTGCAGTTAAGATTTAAGAAATCTAAAGGTTGCCTAAACAAATCAGATTCATGATGATTAGAATATTACTTCCATGTTCATATGCTTATTGTTCTCTTACCGGTTATCAATCCAAATAGTCACTTAGTATGTGTTTATGTAGTTATGTACTATCTTGTTTTCATTTGCCTTCTTTTCCCAAATAGATGTTCAGTAATTCTTTACAGAATGAAAGCTTTTGTTTGTTTGTTTTTTTGGTCCACTCATGGGGCCTGAACTCTGGGCCTGGACGCTGTCCCTCAGCTCTTCAGCTCAAGGCTAGCACTCTACCACTTAAGCCACAGCGCCACTTCCAGTTTTTTTCTTTTTTGCTTATGTGGTGCTGAGGAATCGAACCCACGGACTCATGCATGCAAGGCAAGCGCTCTACCACTGAGCCACCTTCCTTCCCAGCCCATGAAAGCTTTTTAGAATGTAGCAAAGGTCCTTCAAGACAAGTCTTTGGGAAGACTTAAGAATAAACTAAAATTATTCATTTTTGTGCTCATGTGTTCTTGTGTGCGTGTGCGCATAAGGAAGAGCTCTATAGATTTCATCGGATTCTGAACCTGGAAAATCTCAATGCTGAGAGACTTGGCCAGAACTAAGGATCCACACTTAATAGCAAATTTATTGTGGCCTTTAAATATTCTATACACGCACACACACACAATGCTGAGAGACTTCACACACACACAATACTGAGAGACTTGACCAGAACTAAGAATACACACACACACACACACACACACACACACACACACACACACACACACACACACACACACACACACACACACACACACACACACACACACAACACACACACACACACACACACACACACACACACACACACACTACTGAGAGACTTGACCAGAACTAAGGACACACACACACACTTTTGTGCTGGACCTGAGGCTTGAATTTATTATCTGGGTGATGTCCCTGAGCTTTTCACTCAATGCTGATGCCAGAGCTTTGCTTCTGTTTTTTTACTGGTTAATTGGAGATAAGAGTCTCATAAACTTTCCTGCCTGGGCTGGCTTTGAACTATAATCCTCACATGTCGTCCTCCTGATAATAAGCATGCACCACCAGCACCTGGCTGCTTACATATATTTTTTTAAACAAGACTTTGTTTACCTATTTTCATTCCATTTAAATGGTATAAGCACCAGTGGCTCACACCTGTAATCCTAGCTACTTAGGAGGTTGAGATCTGAGGATCATGATTCAAAGCCAGCCTGGACAGAAAATTCCAGGAGACTTATCTGCAACAAAATACTCAGAAAAAGCCAGAAGTGGCTCTGTGGCTCAAGTGTTAGAGCACTAGCCTTGAGTACAAAGAAGCTCAGGGATAGCACCTGCGCCCTGAGCTCAGACATCACACAAATTAAAAATTAAAACAGTTCAATTGTAAGAAACCTGAATGTTTAGCAACACCAGCACTCGGGACATACTTCTCTCCATTGTACCACAGAGAAAGATCAGAGAAAAACACCCAAACTTTTCTATTAAGCAAAGTCTAAAATTAAAATTAAAAAAATTAATGTTACAAGATGTCACTACTATCAAATAACGGGATATGAATGCTTTTGTTTTAGATTTGTAGGAGTTCATAGGGACAGATGTCTGGGGGAGTTTTTTGTTTGTTTTTGTGGTAATGGCGTTTGAACTCCAACCTGTGCATTTGGTAAACAGACATTCTACTACTTGAGTCACACTCCTAGTCCTTTTTGTTTTTACTTTTTGAATGAGGTTTCACTTTAAGCTGATGGCAGTCTGTACCATGATCCTTGCTTTCCACATGATTGGGACAATAAGTACACACTACTACACTCAGCTTTTTATTGGTTGAAATAAGGATCTCAATAAACATTTTGTCCAAGCTAGTCAAAAAAACCACAGTCCTCCTGATTTCAGCCTACCAAGTACTAGGATTGTTATAGGCATTAGCCACCACTCTCCCCTGAGAGCTTTCTTGGTACATCCACTTATAAATGTAAGCATTTCTTAAGCTTGAAAAAATGCAGTGGGCTTGAGTACTTTAATACATAAACCTACTTTGAAACTTAAGCCAGAAGTCATTTGGTCATTTAACTACTCCACTTAAATGTTTTAACTCCTTGAGGTTATTTCAGATTGACATGATTTTGAAATACTCTACAAATTATATTTAATTTATGGTAGTGTCCAGATGCATAAAAAAATAAGTTTTGCTCATTTAATTTTCAGTCAATATTTGAAAAAATGTTTAGCTTCTAAGCGGAAACCTAAAATAAGTGTTTTAACACAATAATATTTGTACATGAACCCGATTACTAAATACGAAATAGAAATTTTCTTCAAATTCTTTTTATATGAAGATTATACTGAAGAAACCCATTTGAAACTTCCTGAAGTTAAGGTTTCTTCTATACAGGTGCTAAGCCTGGTGCCAGTGGCTCACACCTGTAATTCTATTTACCCAGGAGACAGATCTGAAGATTGAGGTTCAAAAAACCAGTTGAGGGGTTGGGAAGGTGGCTCAGTGGTAGAGTGCTTGCCTTGCATGCATGAGGCTCTGGGTTTGATTCCTCAGCACCACATAAGCAAAAAGAAAAAAGCCGGAAATGGCGCTGTGGCTTAAGTGGTAGAGGCTAGCCTTGAGCTGAAGAGCTGAGGGACAGCACCCAGGCCCAGAGTTCAGGCCCATGGCCGGACCCAGAAATAAATAAAAACAAAAAACCAGTTGGGCAGAAAAGTCTTTATCTCCAGTTAACCAGCAAAATGTCAGATTGGTAGTACGGCTTAAATGGTAGAGCACTAGCCATGAATGACAAAGACTAGCAAGAATGTGAGGCCCTGAGTTCAGAGCCCTGGTGCTGACACATGCACGTACAAAATACTTAAGAATTTAGAAGCACATTTTGAAGTATTGGCTTTTTTGGTGAGTCTTAAAACTTAAGTTGCTATTAGTGTTGTTTAGTAAACAGGATATTGGAATTTTTTTTTAGTATTTTTTTATTGTAAAGATACTATACAGAGGGGTTACAGTTACATGAGTAAAGTAATGAGTACATTTCCTATTGAACATTGTTACCTCTTCCTAGAATTTTGTTTTTGTTTATTAGAGGGCCTAAATGGTTTCAGACTGGGTGAGGAGTTGTTCTAATGAATGTTTCCTCTTACTATTCTCTCTATAGGATAACTTCAAACTAATGTGTACTAATGCCATGATTTACAACAAACCAGAGACCATTTATTATAAAGCGGCAAAAAAGCTGTTGCACTCAGGGATGAAAATTCTTAGCCAGGTAAAAGGAACTCTTTGTCACAAGTATAAGTATTGTAAAAATCTATATCCCTTTGTTAAGTTATACTGATGCAAATCTACTATAATGTTGATCCTCTTTATTGATAGTCAGAAATTGGGGAAATCAAATGAAGAAAACTAAAGCAGCAAAATTCTCATTTGTAATTGTTAAAAATAAATGTGCCACTTACAATTATTTCTTTAGAGATTTTTAAATAACTTCCTAGATAGACTTATTTTGCTATGGGAGAACAGCCTGAATTCCAAGATAAGATTGAATTAAGTATGAGGCCTTTTAAGAGAAAAGCTCTCTGTTTTCCTTTGTGATAGTAGAATCTGTACTTCTTGATAAAGCACAGTACTCCTTGTAGAAAGAAAATACACAAATGAGAATATTTGGAACTGTCTCAAAGCCACCTCTCCACATGATCGTGCTCTTCGTTGAAGGACAGGAATTAATGAGTAGGAATAGGTATTTGAGGTGGGATAAATGTTTTGCAGAGGCACCAAAATGTTAGCATCAAGAGTTTATAAATATGTGATACAGTAAATAGCGGCAAGACAGATCTGAAGAGTAAACTTAGGTGGTAACTGCATCTGCTGAAAGAAAAGGAGAACCAAGGTAAGATTTAAGGTTTTCTCATATCCCTGAGTACAATGAACCTACTAATTGAGGGTGACTCATGACGTTCAAAGTCTGAGTTATAATGTTAGCTGTCTTACATTAACTTGTGGATCTTGGACACAACAGTAATTGCCCGGGGCCACAGTTCTCACTCATAAAGAATTACTCTGTAAGATGACTTATAGCATAAATGTTCTGATTCCAGTTAAGAGCTAGAAAGAGACTATGTAAAGATCAGCCAGGTACAGGAACAACTTTGCAAAGTAGAAATGAGTTGGGGGTGAGACCTGTAGAGGGAGAAAGGAATTAGATTTGGGGCACTTAAAATTAATCATGTGTGCCTGCTATCTTTTTCTTTGTGTAGTAATTATCTGTATCACAGTTTTACATTTAAAGAAATGCTGTGTTGTGCAGATGTCTGAATGTGGCTTGGCTTTGAGATACTCTTGGGTCTCCATAACTAGGAGAGAGAAAAAAATGATTATTCTTGTGCTTTGGTTTTTAGACATTGTCAGCTTCCATCTTTCCTAAGGATTTATTAAGAAGCTAATATAAACCAGTTACCTGTTTTGAGCAAAATTTGGAAAGGAAAAAGCAAAATATTTATCATTTTGCAGAATCTAGAACTAAGTATTTTCCAGGTTTAAAAATTCAGAACTGTTTGTTGTATTTGAAGTAAAAGTACATTCAGCTTGGCCCACAGTATGGCTCAGGTAGTAGAGTGCTAGTCAACAAAGCAAGCTGAGTGGGTTCAAACCTTCCTACTACTGCCAGAACAAAAAAGGACAGTCAACAATTATGATACTCACTTCTAAATATACATAGTGAATCTAATACTTTATTTATTTCCAGTCCTGGGGCTTGAACTCTGGGCCTGGGTGCTGTCACTGGGCTCCTTTTGCTCAAGGCTAGGGCTCTACCACTTAAGCCACAGCTTCACTTCCAGCTTTTTGATGATTGATTGAAGATAAGGGTCTTTTGAACTTTTCCAGTGCTGGCTTTCAACTGCAATCCTCATATCTAGCCTCCTGAATAGCTATAGGCATGAGCTATTGATATTTTAACTAGAGAGAGAGAGAGAGAGAGAAAGCCCTGCTTTCAAAGAAAACTTTCCTATGACTTCTCAACTTAATTGTGCATGTTGTATTAAAAATTAATAGTATCTTCTTTACAGAATTCTAGCTGGAATTAAAAGGGTTGTCAAGAATTTACACTGAAGTCATTGGTGAACCTTGAGTTACTATTGAGCAATACTGTCTAGCTTATACTGTATAGCTAACTACATGTTCCCTTTGACCACGGAGTCTAAGAACTTATCCTAAAGAGATTAAGATGTTCCTGATGAGATTTATCAGTGGAAATATAAGTGCCAGATTGGATTTACTACATATTCTATTTATTAAACACTTTTTTTTTTCTTTTTTCAGTTGTGGGGCTTGAACTCAGGGTCTGGGTACTGTCCCTGAGCCACAGCTCCTCCTGGTTTTCTAGTGGGTTTGGAGATAAGAGTCTCACAGGCTTTTCTGCCTGGGCTGGCTTTGAACTACAATTCTCAGATCTTAGCCTCCTGAGTAGCTAGGATTACAGGTCTGAGCCACCAGTGCCCAGCATTAAACACATTTTAAAGATTTTGTTTTTGTCATTGTGGGGCTTGAACTCAGAGCCTAGCTATTGTTCCTGAGTTCTTTTGCTCAAGGCTAGCATGCTACCACTTTAAGCCCCAGCTTCACTACTCCTTTTTGAGTAGTTAATTTGAGATAAGAATCTCACAGGGACTTTTTTGTCCAGGCTGGCTTTGAACTGTGATCCTCAGCTCTCAGCCTCCTGAGTAGCTAAGATTACAGGCATGGGCTACCACTGCCTGGCTTATTTTAAATAATTTTTAATGTTATGGCAGATAAATTATTTTAATGTACTAACAAAAATGTGTTTACCAGATATTGGGTATAATTTATCTTGCTAAAATATGTCCTGCTCAGAAAAGAATTGGCACAATAAACCCCTTCTTAACACTAGCCCTCTCTGGGTGACACATTAACCAGCTTTTGCTTAGTTTGTTATCTTTGTCTGAAGTCAGATATCACTTCAGTAGTTTTATAATTCATTTAAAATACAAGTCCATGAAGAAAAGTGACATCCATGTTGTGAATATCATCTGCACGAATAGAGCTTATTGTGATAAGAAACAATAAGGGGCTGGGAATGTGTCTTAGTGGTAGAGTGCTTGCCTAGCATGCATAAAGCCCTGGGTTCGATTCCTCATTACCACATAAACAGAAAAGGGCACAAATGGCACTGTGGCTCAAGTGGTAGAGTGCCTCCCTTGAGCAAAAGCAGCTCAGGGACAGTGCCCAGGCCCTGAGTTCAAGCTCCAGGACTGGCAAAAAAAAATGTTAGCTGTTGAGCACTGGTTGTGTAGCCTCAAGACAGTTATGCAGAATTTCTGAGCTACGTTGTCTATAGAAGTCTTTCCTGCTGCTGTACAGCAGCCCTGATAAGTTGACACTCATGATAGTGTCAAACTACTCTCTGAGTTCAAACAGAATAGTCAGATTTGTTCAGAAACTTCAAGCCTGTAACCATAGTGAAAATTTCACAGTACATCCCTGCAATGGAAAATTAAGCACGATTCAGAAAGTAGAAACAAGGTTTCTCTGGTTAGTTCTAAGAACACCATTAGCCATTCTGAGAAAAAGGAGCTGTGCTAGCAAGCATTTATTCTCCCCATGGCCTGTTGTTCTCCCACAAAGCAGAATGTATATCATAGTAATCAGTGATCACCATAGGATAGCAGAGGTAGTAAAGTCCTTCATATTCTCCAAACATCATGTATTTAATCATTCTGAAGGCTCAGAAGATAAGACAATCTGAACCCTTAGTCTCAATTCATTCTCTTCTGTTAACTGTCTAGTAGCACAGTAGAATTGAAAAGCTTTTTCACATTGGAAATGATCTGGATGAATTATTAAAGAACAGACTTTGTCCTGGTTCCTGGATAAGACTCCTATGATATAATTACATTAATTGATTTTCTTCCCTATTTCATGACAGGTTAAGTGCAAACTCTTGGGGGGGAAAGCATTACTTTAAAACTCAGTGACAGTCATACAATAAGAATGTTTTTAATGGCTTTAGGAAAGAATTCAAAGTCTAAAGCAGAGCATAGACTTCATGGCAGACTTACAGAAAACTCGAAAGCAGAAAGATAGAACAGATACCTCGCAAAGTGGAGAGGACAGCAGCTGCTGGCCACGAGAGAGGGAAGACTCTGGTGATGCTGAAGCACAGGCTTTGAAGAGTTCCAACCAGGACAATAAAAAGTAAGAGGAGAAAACACTGATTCTGCCTGACATGGGAAGACCAAGTTCCAGTATGTCAGTGGTGACCATTTCTGGTCAAGAAAGCCACTTTTAATGACCTGAGAAGCTCTGTTTATACAGCACTCTATGAATTCTGAATGAATATTTGGATTAACATAATTTTAAAGCAAGTAGATTATTTTTAGGGACTCATGTTGAACTGTTTGTTTAACTGTGTATCCATTACCTCATTCCACGAAGAGAAAGGAGTTGGGCAAATGCACACTCAAAGCTGTCGCTGAGGGCTGTGCATGTTTTCCAATAGACAGCAGCTGGCATGACCAGGAAGAGCCACGGGTCCTGGCAGCCATCCCCGTGGCTGGACAACAGTCAAGTCCGCGTGCTCGTGCTGCTTACCACAGCCCTCACTGGCAGCACCAAACTGTCAACTGTGGAGACATTTGCAGTTAATAGTTTGACATTTTTGCTGTCAAATGCAAAAGAGGTAAACGACAAATCTCTGTTCTAAGATTTATACATTTTAAATGTCTGCTTGAAATACACATTTTTAAAATTGAACTTAAATTTTAACTTGCTCTCCATTGAAAGTAGTATCCAAAGTAGGATTCATTTTTGTGAATATAACCTGAAATGTTTATGGTAAGTAATACTGAGCCAAAAAGGAGGGAGGGAAGTATGAAAGTTTTCCTTTGTCTTTCCATCATTGGAGTACAAAGCCTTAATTAGTGCCAGTAGTACAGCTGTCTCATATGCATATTGGAATTCATTTTAATGTTAATGGATGTTTGTTTTAGAAAAGACAAAGATGTGCTTGAGGATAAATGGAAGAACAGCAACTCAGAAAGGGAGCAAGAACAGATTGACCGTGCCGTGCAGGAGTCTGGGGGAAAGCTGACCCGGCGGCTGGCTAACAGTCAGGTGAGGGGGCCTCTGAACCCCAAAGCTTTAAAGTTCTCATCACTGGGACAGTAAGGAAAATTAATAACATTTGTTTATAAGCCACATGATTACTATATCCTTTTATGACTGGGTTTTTCCTGTGGAATTAGTGTGTTCTAAAATTAGCATGTGAACAGCAGTATAGTTTATTTTAAGCTTATAAGAAATGAGTTACATGTTCTGGTCGTTTGAAATCATAATGTTGAACACATTGTTTTTAAACCCACGTAGTTTCAAACATGACTTTGAGCGGGTCACTTCCCCTGGTCTTCATCTCCTTGTTTTGAGAACCAGGTAGCTCACACAGCTCTTTACAATTCTGGAACTTCAGCCAGGTAGCAATGGCTCACTCCTGTAATTGCAGCTGCTCAGGAGGCTGAGATCTGAGGATGGAGGTTTGGAGCCAGCCCAAGGCAGACAAATGGACAAAACTTTATCTCTAACCAGCAAAAACCTGGAAGTGGAAGGGCATGGCTCAAGCGGCAGAGCACCAATTATGATGGTAAAGGGGCTGAACAAAAGTGCAAGGCCCTGAGTTGAAAGCATTAGCAAAGGCAAAAAAAAAAATTCTGAGATTTTTTTTCTTACCCTTTCTTTTACTACCTACTAACACCTGTATATGTAGAAGACATGTATGAAAGTCATTGTTTGGGTTTAGTGAAGTAGTATGTAGTATTAGTTTGATTAACGCTTTCTAGTGTGGGTTGTGTATATGTGTATAAAATTATCCCATTTGAATACTTTGGGTCATTGCAGTGTGAATTTGAAAGAAGAAAACCAGATGGAACAACAACATTGGGACTTCTCCATCCTGTGGATCCCATTGTAGGAGGTAGGATCACAGAGACTGTGCATGAACTTGATAATGTATGGCAAAGAACAGTAAGCTTGTGTGGTAGTCAAATAGCATCCCTGTGACAACAAAAGCCAACACAGTGATTTAGGTAGGAAAAGCATAGTTTCAGAAGGCTTCATACATAGTCTTTGGCTCCACTGAGTCTGAGCCCGTGGTGAGGCAGAACATCCTGGCCCTGGGAACATGGAGCCGAGGCGATACATCTCTGAAGGACATGCCCAGTAACCTACTTCCTTTAGCTAAGCCTCATCTCCTCCTGCTTCCAAAACCTCAAAAATAGTGCCATATGAACCTTTTGTGGGTGGATGCTTCATATCCAAATCATACCAAGATTAGATTTTAAAGCAACAAATCTAAATAGTGATAAATCTGAGCATGGCTAGGTACCACAGGTACAGTGTACTTCTTGGTAACAATACCTATTTTTCTACTGTTATGGAGATACAGAAATGGACTGTTTGCTTGAGAAAATCAGTCTTTGAAGTTGTAGTTGAAGCTAGATGTGTACAGTCGGGAGCAAAACAGGAGACTCCTCTATCCCCTCAAACTGGGATGAGAGAAAGAAAACACACACATAAATATAATTGCAGGAAGTATTAATATGTGAATATCTGCCTTTCATGACTTAACAAGTACAGAGGGAAAGTACGTAAGACAAGGTACCTGCCTAGTGCCTTGAGTCCAGGGAAGGATTCCTTAAGATGATGCAGGTATGGGCGACAAGAATAGCAGTGGACTCATGGGTGATGTAGATGGTGAATAACTTGGTAGATTTGAACACTTAAAAGAGCAAGCCTGTTGTTTAGTGCTGTGTTTTACAAACAAAACTCATTTTTTAATTCCTACAGACTTTTTTGTCTGTTATGGAGCTTGAACTCAGGGCCTGGGCTCTGTCTCTGACTTTTTTCATTCAAGGCTAGTGTTCTACCACTTAAGCCACAGTTCCACTTCCAGTTTTTTCTGAGTAGTTCATTGGAGATAAGTCTCATGGACTTTCCTGTCTGGGCTGGTGATCCTCAGACCTCAGCCTCATAAGTATCTAGGATTATAGGCATGAGCCACCAGAATCCAGTTTCCTATGTACTTTCCATAGTAAAATTTTATATGGCTTTGGTCAAAGAAAGTATCCTAAGTATAAAATTGGCTTTTTCAATCAATTTTTATTGCTTTCATTTGTGTTCTTTTAAGTGTACTTATGGGGAGAATCTGGTAATGTGAGATGCAGACAACTTGTTTAGGCCCTAAGGTATACCTGCTGTTTTGAAGGCAGCATCTGGTCTCTGCATTGGCCTGCTTTCCCAGGTGTTTAGCACTCTGCTCCCCCCTCTTCCCCCTCTTCCCCCCAGCATGATCAGTCAAAATTGACTTGATCCATGAGTGGCCACTTTGCCATCTTCTCAGCTTCATCTGCACATTACTTGTCATAAACAGTGATTTATAACTTAATACATTGAATTCTTGCTGTCTTTGAGTATTTCGTCCTGATTTAATCTTTTACTAATCTTTGTCCTGGTTTATCTGTTGTCTTTTTTTTTTTTTTGGTCAATCATGGGGCTTGAACTAGGAGCCTAGACATTATCCCTGTGCTCTTTTGCTCAAGGCTAGCTCTCTACCACTTTGAGCCATAATGCCACTTCCAGTTTTCTGGTGGTTAATTGGAGATAAGAGTCTCACAGACTCTCCTGCCTGGGCTGGCTTTAAACTACAATCCTCAGATCTCAGCCTTCTGAGTAGCTAGGAATATAGGTATGAGCCAACCAATGCCCAGCTACCTCTGTCATCTGTAAATCAAACTGTTCTCTGGGAAGAAGAAGAGCTATAGGTGTTCAAAGTATCTTACCCTGATTGTCTGTGGTAACAACCTCTATAGCAGATAATAGTGTTACAAAGAGCAAACCTTCCTGTGAAGGACTGGGATTTGAACCTAGGGCCTTGGGGTTGCTAGGCAGGCACTTCGCCACTTGAGCCATGACCCCAGCCCTAGCAGGGAAAAAACCCACCTTTCTGGTTTTGCTGGTGGCACGTGTATCCTAATGCCAGCTTCTTCTGTTCTGGGATCCTTCTTCATATGCTGTCTGCTTATATCACATATTCTGAGCCTCAGTAAGGACTTCATAACCTGATTTAACAAGAGCACATTTTTAAAGGCTTATACCTTTGCAGTTAAAAATATTCCTTTAATAAACACTGATTTATACTTAATACATCATGAGTTCTTACTGGCTTTAGTCCAGGCTTGCCCTGGTTTGCTCTTTTACTTACCTTTCCCTGGTTTAAATCTTTATTTGGGAGTTTGGTTTTTTAACAAACATGTATAAGTGGCTGGTCATCAGTGGCTTCTGCCTGTAATCCTACCTACTTAGGAGGCTGAGATCTGAGAATCGAGGTTCAAAGCCATCCCAGGCAAAAAAGTCGGTGAGACTCATATCTCCAATAAACCACTCAGAAAACCAAAAGTGGCACTGTGGCTCAAATGGTAGACTGCTCACCTTGAGCTGAAGAGCTGAGGGACAGCACCCAGGCCCAGAGTTCAACCACCACCACCAACAACAAAATGTACAAGTGTAATATGATTATGAAGAATTCTACTGAGCAATACAGTTTAATGAGATAATCCAGGTTATTAATCTGACTACATTCCTGCCTTTCTAAGCTCCTATTTTTTTTTATCCTTTTGTTTGTTTGTTTAGTTTTGTTTGTCAGTTGTGGGGCTCGAACTCTGGGCCTGGGTGCTATCCCTGAGCTCTTCAGCTCAAGGTGAGCACTTTACCACTTGAGCCACAGTGCTACTTCCAGCTTTTTCTGTATATGTGGTGCTGAGGAATCGAACCCAGGGCCTAATGCATGCAAGGCCAAGCACTCTACCACTGAGCCACTTTCCTAACCCCTGTTTTTTTGTGTGTTTGTTTTTTTGTTTTGTTTTGCTTTGTCTGTGTGGGGCTTGAACTCAAGGCCTGAGCACTGTCCCTAAGCTTTTTTGCTCAAGGCTAGCACTCTATCACTTTGAACCATAGCACCATTTCCAGTTTTCTGGTGGTTAATTACAGATACAAGTATTACAGACTTTACTGCCTGGGCTGGCTTTGAACTGCAGTCCTCAGATTTCAGCCTCTTGAGTAGCTAGTATTACAGCCATGAGCCACTGATACCAGGCTAGATTTCCTTATCTTATCCAAAAAAACATCCTGATAGAATAAGGGCTATGCAACCCCCTCCACACCATGAAGATAACATGAAATAATACACATGAAAGCAGATACCCTGTGGATCATTTCTATGCATGCCTTCTTCATTGTGCTTGGTTTTATGTCTTAGAACCAGGCTACTGCCCTGTGAGACTGGGAATGACAACTGGAAGACTTCAGTCTGGAGTGAATACCTTGCAGGGGTTCAAAGAGGATAAAAGGAACAAAGTAACCCCAGGTGAGGCTCCTGTGTAGTCCATGTTTTTTCTCTCCTCTCTGTTTTAGGTTGGAATAGGAAGTGTAATTACCACTCATTGCTTTATTCAGTCACTTTCTTGGTGGTATTTTTGTAGTATCAATTAGCTATTTCACAAGAAACTGGAAACTCATATTAAAAGTGAGTTTTATTCTTTTCCTTCTTTGTGGGGAATAATTAACTTGGTTGTAGCTTCCCAGATGTAGGTGGCCCTCTGTGTCTGAGGACTGCGTTCACAAGTTCAACTCACTTATTTTTTCTTACTCTCTTAGCAACAACACAGTATGACTATTTACATTGTATTTGGTATAATAATTCATCTAGAGATGACCTTGTATACTAGAGGATATATGTAGGTCCTATGTGAGTACCATGCCATTTTATGACTCAAACATCCTTGGTATTTTGTATCTGCATGAGGTGTATTTTGTATCCACATGAGGTCCTAGAACCCATTTCTTGAGGATGCCAGGAATGATTGGACCTGTTTGGGAGAAAAAGTTTGTCTTAAATATATGACAATCAATTGAATAGATTAAAATAATATTTCATTTTTTCAACAGTATTATACTTGAATTATGGACCCTACAGTTCTTACGCTCCACATTATGACTCTACATTTGCAAATATTAGCAAGGATGATTCTGATCTAATTTATTCAACCTACGGGGAAGATTCTGGCCTTCCAAGTGATTTTAGGTGAGTCCCCAGTAAATATGCTGAGCACCACATTTCTCTAAAATGTTTTCAAAAGTACAATATATGAACAATATGTGATTTATGGGTAGATGTATAGTTATCCAAATGGTGAAAGAATGTGTTCAGTATATTTTAATTAACAAGTTATTCAAGATATTAACTGATAACTAACATCCAGGGATTTCTTAACTCAAAATGATGGGTATTTTGTGTGTCAGTGAAGTTATTTCAAACTTGATCAGTTGGGGAACCTGTAGAACATTTTCCCTGAGCTGTTGTGAGGTGGGATATGAGGACATGATTCCTGAGGCAACACATAGCCAGGTCTGTTTGACCATCATATACCTAGCTACGTCAGTTACACCCCACACCCCTATTCCTGTCCTAGGGGGTCAGTAACTTCTGTGTTCCTGTGTAAGATGCTGAACGCTTTGCATGCCATCAGTATAATGAGGTCACTTCCCTATTTACCATGATTGTGGCTCATGGCAGGACATTTAGCTTAGGTTTTCCCTTCATGGCACTTGTACCTTATACATAAGAATTTAACCCTGTAGATTAAACCGATCCCCTGGTTTTCTGATCTCTTAAATGTATGTGTGGTTTTGTTGCTTTTACAAGCAGGGGTCCGTAAGTTAGAAATGAGCTATGGTTTCAGAACAAACTGTTTACATTCTTAGATATCACCAGCTTGAACACATTCTTTCTGCATGCCAACTGTGTGCTAGGTGTTTTCCACAGGAAAACAGTGGTGATAAAGGGAACAGTGGTGATAGAGACTGGCTCTCCTGTCAGGTGGTGACAGTGCTTTGAAGTAATGAACAGTGGTGAAGAAAGGCAGGGCTGGTGATAGGTCTTCAATAAGGAATCAGACAGTCAAACCAAACTCAATGGAGGTAAGGAAAGCAACCCTGAAAGCACCCTAGTCCAAGAATTAGCCAAACCAAGACTCTGAGCTGGGTTTGCCTGGGCCTTTCAAGGAACAAAAGAAGAGTAGAAAGGAGCAAAGCAGGTAGAGAATAAAATGGAGTGATCACACTAGATCTTTGTAAAGACTGGGAGTTTCTGTTCTAAGTAAATAGGGAGACTACTAGTAGTCTATAAGTGAAGTTGTAGCTCGGTCTAGCTTATGATTCAAAAACCATTCTGTCTACCCTGTAGTCTATGCTACAGGGGCAAGACAAGAGCAGGAGTTTGGGAGACTGCAGTGGAGTCCCATCGCAGTGTTAAATGATAGAGACTTGGTGTGGTGGTACACACCTGTAATCCTAGCTGCTTAGAAAGTGGAGATTGGGAGGTTTGCAGTTTAAGGCCTGCCTGGGCAAAATGTTAGTGTGACTATCAGAACCAACAAGCCAAATATGGTAGCATACTATACCTATCATATTAGTTAGAACGTCATAAATAGGAAGCCCTAGACAAAAATGAAAAACCCTAGCTGGGCACTGGTGGCTCACTACTAGTTCGAAGCCAGCCTAGGCAGGATAGTCCATGATGCTCTTATCTACAGCTAATCACCAAAGGCCAGAAGTGGAGCTGTAGTTTAAATGGTAGAGTGCCACCCTTGAGTGAAAAACTTAACAGGACAAGGCTGGGATTGTGGCTTAATGGTAGAGTGCTTGCCTGGTATGCAAGTGCTTGCCTGGTTCGATTTCTTAGTACCACATAAAGCAAAAAAATTAATTAAAAAAAAAAAAAGCTAAGAGAGAGTGCCCAGGCCCTGAGTTCAAGCCCCAGTCAGTACCAGCACACACAAAATTACAAAAGCCTGCCCACAAAAAAGGGCTAAGAAAGAACTGAAGTTTTGTAATTCAAGTGATAGAGCTTCTCCCTAGCAAGCACAAGGTACTGATTTCAAACCCTATCACCACCAAGGTTGAGGCAGTCAGTAACTAGTCAGGAAAATTTGTACAGATGAAAATGGAGTGAGAGAGAAACCAGGAAGACTCTCAGGTTTTTCAGATTTAGCCTAAAAGGATGTCCTTATTATTTATTGATAAGTAGGTGATTTGGGAGCACCACTTGGGGAGAATTTTGTGCATTTTCAGGTTAAACTTGACTTGTCTATTTAAGTAGAGGGTGTAACTTTTGAGTTTTTAGTGTGTATTAAAATACTGAGGTGAGGGCTGGGAAGTTGGCTCAGTGGTAGAGCGCTTGCCTTGCATGCATGAGACCCTGGGTTCGATTCCTCAGCATCACATAAGCAAAAAGAAAAAAGCCGAAAGTGGCGCCGTGGCTCAAGTGGTAGAGCGCTAGCCTTGAGCTGAAGAACTAAGGGACAGCGCCCAGGCCCAGAGTTCAGGCCCCACGACTGGACCCAAAATAAATAAATAAAATAAAATACTGAGGTCACCAGGGGAGGAGCAAGAAACCCCAAGAACTGCCTGGGCCCTATCACTGTGCTTAGTCTTAATTTTTCTTTGCATAGCTCTCAGAACATTTCGTTTTTCACTTTGTTCTTATTATTGTTTAATTCTCTGATGATGACAGATTTATCACTGGTAAATATGTAAATGCAGCGATGCTCTGGACAGAAAGTTTTACATAAGGGTGTGTTAGCCAAGGACATCTGATTGAAAGAGTTGGCTGTGTCAGAGGATTTGAAGCCAGTGCTGATGATTTATGTAGAGTCATTTTCCCAACCCTCTGTCTTTCAGCATCCAGGAGTTTTTGGCCACATGCCAAGATTATCCATACGTTATGGCAGATAGTTTGTTGGATGTTTTAACAAAAGGAGGGCATTCTAGGACCCTGCAGGAGTTGGAAACGGTAAGAATGCTGCTAAAGAAACAGGGCAGTTTATTCTTGGCTCTGAAATATTAGTCACTGGGTGTTATGAAACTCAGGATTAGCCAGTATGACATCTGGACTCTATTCCCCTGAAAAGTGGGTGGAGGCTAGAGTGGAGGACAGTGTACAGAAAGGAATAACTTAACTACTAGAGTTCATGAGGGCCCAGATTGTCATTCTCCTGATCTTGGGGAGATAACCCTCAACAATGAGGGTCACAACCCAGAAGTTAGTGACTGCTATATATCCTAACTCACTAGCTGGTAACTGAACTGACTAAAATGGCAGGGTATGCTCTGTCCTTACGTGGTAATAATGCATTGGTAGGAGCCTTAGAAAATAAAGAGCTTTCTCATTGCTGTCTTCTAGCACTTACAAAGGCCTCTCCAATTTAAAATTTTTATTTTAAAGATTAGAACCTGAAAATGTTCCTTGTGGTGTAAAAGAGCATTGACACAATGTTAATGTCACCATAGTTAGAAAAGCCAGTGTCTCTTAATGGTGCTTTGTCCATTGACCACAGCTGCATAGGTGGTGGGTGTTCATAGGAGACTTGTCAGTAAGGCTAGCGTCAGTGCCTCAACGCTCAGTGTGACTGAGGTAAAATCCTAGCACATGAACTACTTTCCTCATTTGACCTGGAAAACACAATATACCCTTCCCATAAATGAAGCTGAAGTAATTTTTTTATAGAATTTTTTTTGGTGAATATAGTCATGTATTTTAAAATGTAATTGTTCTGCCCTTGTATGCAGCAGTTCTTTTTATAATGTATCTTAGACAATCAAAGTTTCATGTAGACAAAATACATGGTTTATCATTTTTAGAAAATGGGAATTGTTATATCACAATACAAATTTTTCAAGAAAGATGTCTATTGATGCCATGATGCACTTGTCTATGTGTGAGTTCTTAGACAGCTAGGATTATAGGAAAGTCCACATTCTGTGCTATTTGCATATTTTACAGCTATCTGAAGATAATTCTCTGGTAATAACCTACAGTCCCTTCTTGCCAGTCTTAACCTGTTACAAAGCTCCACTTAGGTATTTTTTAATGTTTACCAGTGGTCAGGCATCATTGGCACTTCAACTGACAAATACTCTCAAAATGGTAATGATTATATTTAATTTCATTTTAAAAGTTATATTCTAATACTGCTGTCCTTTTAATTAGCATACACTGGTTGTACAAGGAGGGGTTCATTAGGTATTTTCATGTATGTATACAATGCATCCTGCTTAAACCCTACCCCCTGCATCCTTCTCCCTTATCTCCTCCCCTTTCTTAAATCCAGCTCTTACTCCTTTTCTCTTGCTGTAAAAATTGACACTTAGCTATTTTCTTTTGCTATATGTTTTCATAAACTGTTGTTTTTCTTTATCCTTATAGTCATCACCTGAAGATGAAGGCCAGTCTAGCACCTGTGATACAGCTAAAGAAATGGAGGTGATTTTTTCCCCCTGGTACTGGGGATTAAACTCATGGCTTTGCACTTGCTAGCATTCACTCTGCCACCTGAGCTATGTTCCTAGTCCATTTTTAAATGGAGAAAGAGCTGAAAGACCTAGATGATAACACTTTTATTTATTTTTAAGTACTCATTAGATTTCATCTGATAAAAGTATTTTTGCCTTTGGAGAGTTTAGTAGTATAGTCATTATTTAGAAGAAACATGTAAACCATGGATCCAAAATCAGTTTCCATACAGCATAAATACATAGGCTCTGGGCACCCAGGATAAGGAACTCACTGCTTTGTGGAGCTGTCTGAACAAGGCTAGAAGATGAAGAAGCAGTCACTTTCCCAGAAAGCAGGGCTAGGCATGTGATGTCTTGAAACAGGTGAAACTACATGGATAATGACAAATTGGTCTGAAAGCAAAGCACCTGTGCAGCAAGCTCAGCAGATGACCCAGTATCCCTGGGTAAGAATAGGTGAGGCAGGCTGGAAAGGTGGCTCAGTGGTAGAGTGCTAGCCTTGCATGCATGAGGCCCTGGGTTCGATTCTTCAGCACCACATAAACAGAAAAAGCCGGAAGTGGCGCTGTGGCTCTAGTGGTAGAGCGCTAGCCTTGAGCTGAAGAGCTGAGAGACAGTGCCCAGGCCCAGAGTTCAGGCCCCACAACCGACAAGCCCCTCCCCCCCCCCACAAAGAATAGGTGAGGCTTCGGGTAGGAACCCTAGGATCAAGAATCTTCTGTGCGTTGCCAAAAAGCTGAGACTAGGATGGGATACTATGATCAGATATAGGAAGGGGAATCTGTGAAACTTTTCTTAAGCCAAAAAACACCTAGCATACTAACATTACAGTTGATAATAAGGATTTAGGAGGAATCAATGTGATCTGGATCTGGTGCATTCAATCTTATAGGAAAGAGAGTACACCCTAAACAGGAAGAAGGACATACCTTTCAGATGTGATAAATGTGATCTGGGTGCTGCAGGTGTGGTCCTAGAATCTCAGATCTGAGCTGTGGTATGGCAGTTGTGGATATAAACATAGCACTCAGGATGAACATAGTGAAGGCTAAATGATAGCACTTTGGAAAAAAGCAGTAGTCGAGTAAGGCAGGAAACTTGCAAAAAGATACTGAGCAGGAGAGGAGAGTTCAGCAGCATCAGAAGCAAACCAGTCCAAGAAGAAACCTGCAAATGTTACTTTGTAGTACTGGAGTCTAGAACTCAACAGCCTCTCATTTGCTAAGCAAGTGCTCTGCCACTTGAGCTATGTGCCTCCAGTCCCTGAAAATGTCATTTGTAACCTTGATCACAGCAATCTCAGTAAAGTAGTAAGGGGAGAAGGCCTAAAAAAGGACTAAACAGAGGTGTGAGGCCAAGAAAGTGAAGATTTAGATGGTATTTATACAGTCATGTTTTCATATGTTTAGTGAAGGAGCAAGAGTGAAAGAAATCTTGAGAATAGGAAAAGTTGGATAAGAAATAAAGACACTGGCTGGGGGAAGGGGCGTGGGGGGGGTGATGGGAAGGGGAAACAAAGGAGGAGGCAACAATGCTTGATAAGAAAGGTACTTATTACCTTGCCCATGTAATTGTAACCCCTCTATATGGTATTTTCACAACTTAAAAAAAAAAACTAGGGCTGGGAAGGAGGCTCAGTGGTAGAGTGCTTGCCTTGCATGTATGAGGCCCTGGGTTTGATTCCTCGGCACCACATTTGCAGAAAAAGCCAGAAGTGGCACTGTGGCTCAAGTGGTAGAATGCTAGCCTTGCACTGAAGAGCTGAGGGATAGTGCCAAGGCCCAGAGTTAAAACCCTATGACAAAAAAAAAAGAAAAGAAAGAAAAAAAGAAAAGAAATAAAGACTAAGCTGTGCTCATGCCTTAATTCTCACTACTCAGACTAAGATCTCAGGATCACAGTTCAAAGCCAGCCTTGGCAGAAAAGTCCATGAGACTCCCTCCAATTAATCACAGAAAAAGTTGGCAGTGGTGCTATGGTTCAAGTGGTAGATGCACTATCCTTGAGCAAAAAAGGAGCTCAGGGACAGCACCCAGGCCCAGAGTTCAAGCCCCAGAATGGGCCAAAAGAAAAAAAAGGACTATTGAGTAGAATTATGAGGATCCCGCTAAAATGGTCAGCTATAAATACATACTAGTGTCAGTTTGTACAGCTGAAGTTTTGCACTGCGCACTTTCATACTATTTGTATGTAAAGGGAAGGAGTCTGGTGTCCAGACTGGTTGAGCTTTGAGTGCAATACTCCAGTAGAAATGGAACAATGACTTTGGCTACTTATCTAAGTTGATGGCATTCTTATGAAGAATTGTTGAGGTTATGGAAACATTGAGTCTTACAATTCCAGAAATAAAACTCTCCCTTCCTAAGGTTTTCTTTCTCCCGTGCAGCACTAGCAGCCTGGTTTGGGTGCCTGGAGTTGACCCAGGAAGATTCTTACGCAATAGGTCTATAAGAATGCACGTTTATGGACTGGCTGGACTGAAACATGTACCCGAGTCTCCAAAACATGAGGCGTTGTTGTCAGTATTGAGGCAGTGACTTCTTAAAAGAAGTGTATAATGCAGATTGTATAAGATGTAATAATACTATGGAGAAGTGTTTTCTTGCCAAAATTTTAAGAATAACATTTTAAAAGGATGTTCTTGGGTGGTTGGGAAGGTGGTTCAATGGCAGAGTGCTTGCCTTGCATGTATGAGGCCTTGGGTTTGGTTCCTCAGCACCATATAAGCAGAAAATGCCAGAAGTGACACTGTGGCTCAAGTGGTAGAGTGCTAGCCTTGAGCTGAAGAGCTGAGGGACAGTGTTCAGGCTGAGTTCAGCCTCACAACTGATCCCCCAAAAAAATGGGAGTGGAGGGTTCTTGGAAGGCATTTTTTGATAGTCATATAATTATAATAGATGGAATAGCTTTGCCTAGAAACATAGCCATCTTATTAATTTTTACTGACTTAGCAAGCCCAAGTAATTGCCTTTTTTTTTTTCCTTTTGAGGCAGATTACAGAAGTAGAACCAGCAGGGCGTTTGGACTCTAGCACCCAAGACAGACTCACAGCACTGAAAGCAGTAACAAACTTTGGTGCTCCCATTGAAGTATTTGACTCTGAAGGTGAGGCTCTCAGGACACAGTGTGTGGGAACTGCATAGCATAGGCATTGAAGCATTACTGCTGCCTCAGTGGCAACCATCCACCACAGGAAAACCAGGGCCAACCACATGAAGTGAATAGTAAAGCATGGCTGTGCTCGTGGTTTCATTTGAGGGGAGGAGGCTAGCCAGTAAGAAACAGAGCCTGAATAGTATGATTCACACTTCCACACAGGATGAAACAGGCGTGCCCATGTCTTCTTTGGTGTCTTCTTACCACAGAGGCTGAAGTGTTCCAGAGGAAACTTGACGAGACCACCAGGTTGCTCAGGGAGCTCCAGGATGCGCAGAATGAGCGGCTGAGCACCAGGCCCCCTCCCAACATGATCTGTCTCTTGGGTCCCTCGTACAGAGAGATGCACCTTGGTATAGTATGCCTCCAGCAAGTGTCAGGGAGGAGGGGCGTGCATAAAGGGAAATTGCTGAGTAGTGACAGCACTGTAAAGTGGTGGCACAAAATGCTTGTTCTCTGCATTTGTACATTCACTGCTGTCTTGGATTTTTTTTTAAGGAGTCACTTTTTGATACCTGGAACTATTTTTCTTTTTCTTTCTAGCTGAACAAGTGACTAATAACCTTAAAGAACTTGCACAGCAAGTGACTCCAGGTGATATCGTGAGCATGTATGGAGTTCGAAAAGCAATGGGGATTTCCATTCCTTCCCCGGTCGTGCCACACAACCTCATAGATTTGACAGAAGGTGCGTGCTCAGTTTCTCTGGGACAATGGGAGGCTCTTGTATGTAGAACTAGTGTATTTCTCACATTTTCAGCAAAGTTGCAGTAGTGACCTAATCACTGCTTCTTAGCCTTGAGTGTGGTGCAAGGGCTCTCAGCTAGAGGTGGCTCACCTCCACTCTCACTCTAATGACATGGCAGAGTGTTCAGTACTGTCTTCTTCCTTCAGAGCTTGAAGACCCTAAGAAGGCTGATGTTGCTGAGTGAGGACCTGATGGGAGCTCAAGCTTGCTGGTATTTGATTATATATTATGTACATATTTTCTTCATTCCAAATTTGGAAATGCCTTTCAGAAGATATTAACTATTCATAAATTGTGTTTTTAATTAAACTTTGGAACAGTTAATTTTATATGTTCCAGAGATTGGACTTGTATTAGGTAATAAAGCTGAACCTGGAACTCCGAAGAGTACTGTGCATATCCATCAAGTTCCCCTTGACCTGCCCTGACTCAGAATATGATTACATCTTAATGGACCAAGTTCTCAAGATAAATTGGAATCCCTTATTTTTTACCCTCCCCATTAAAGAAATTATACCCAGGTAGTTCTGCAACTCATCATAATTCAGAAATCAGCCCTTTGTGAGCAAGGCATATAGCTTTGGCTATTGTCATACCTGAGTGGGTCTTTTTTTTTTTTTTTGGTCCAGTCATGGGGCCTAAACTCTGGGCCTGGGCACTGTCCCTCAGCTCTTCAGCTCAAGGCTAGCGCTCTACCACTTGAGCCACAGCACCACTTCCAGCTTTTTTCTTTTTGCTTATGTGGTGCTAAGGAATCGAATCCAGGGCCTCATGCGTGCAAGGCAAGCGCTCTACCACTGAGCCACCTTCCCAGCCCCATGTGGGTGGGTCTTAATGCTACTTGTATTTTACATACAAGGCAGCCTCATCTGAGAGCTGGAGCATGGCTCAAGTGGTTGAGCAACTGCCTAGCAAGTATAAGGCCCTAGAAAATAAAAATAAATCAGCCCATCTAGTGAGATCTTTCATTTGTATACCACAAAAACAAACACACTTAGAATAATTTTAGGATCTGCTAGTGTAGCTCTACTCCTGATGGGAGAAGGCACCATGTAGAAATTATGTGGTTAGTAATTAGGAGCCTTCCCCCATCCCACCTACCAGAAAAGGAGAGGCTAGGAGATTCTTAGTACTATAACATATCTGGTATTTTTGTTTTTTCATTTTTGCAGTTATTTGGAACAATAGCAAAAAGATGAGCCAAATAAGCTAAAACCATCCTCCAGAAGACCAACTCAGAAGACAGTTTTTTTCTGTTTACTGTTTTTCAAAGATCACCTCAGGGCATGCATCTGAGTATTTTTTATCTGAAAATGGCTGTTTGTTTAGCAGTCACTCAGCTAAGATGGTGATTTTCTTCTTTTAGTTCAAAAGATAGCCTGTTAAAAAGCCAGAGTGGAGGTATATTGATGTAAGACTGTAAATCTCAGGAGGATCCAAAGTTCAAGCCAGCCCAAACAAAAATTAGCAGTATACCCCTCCCCCATCATCTCATGCCAGGTTCCTGTCATCTCACCTAGATTGGAAACTGGGTAGAAAGCCTGCCCCGAAACAGGAATGTAAGGCCCTGCCTGAAAACAACTAAAGCAGAAATGGCTGAAGTGGTAAAATACCCACCTAGCAAGCACAAATCCCAGAATCCAAACTAGTACCACCAAAAGCAGTAATAAAAAATAACAATACCCAAAAAATGGGGATGGATACATAACCTAATTCATTGAACAAATTATGTTTAATACTCATATGGCCCGTCTGTGTAAAACCCAAACTGGAAGCTATTCTGTGTTTTTCTTGACTTGAGAAAACGCGAATGAATCTTAAAACTTACAAAGAGGATTCTCTTTTTTAAAACTTAGTTGAGATGTTTTTATGCAGGCTATATCTAGAGTCTTACTTTTAGTCTCTGAAATACAATTTGGTAAGTTCCTTAAGACCAAGAAGATGTTTATATTCAGAAGACCTTAGGACATTCAGGTTTCTGCATTGCTAATTTAATGCATAAAAAGCAGCTAAATAAGCACTGGTACTTTATACAATGAAACATTTAAAACAAATGGTATATATCTATAAATACAGAATAATTGTTTGATGCACCGACTCAAAGCATATTTCTATACAGTGGCCTGTTACACACATGCAATATAGCATGAGCAATGCTCATCTTCCTTAGGAAGCCATCAGAAGACTTCTGTATTAATGTCCCATAGTTAGTAAGCTGCCTCAATAGGAATTTTAAGCAAGTCTGATCCATAGAGAAGGGTGTTATTAGAAATATACTTGTTGCTGTCATGAAAACAAATGACACATCAAGAAATTACTTAGGGCTGGGAAGGTGGCTCAGTGGTAGAGCGCTTGCCTTGCATGCATGAGGCCCTGGGTTCAGTTCCTCAGCACCACATAAGCAGAAAAAGCTGGAAGTGGCGCTGTAGCTCAAGTGGTAGAGTGCTAGCCTTGAACTGAAGAGCTGAGGGACAGTGCCCAGACCAGCAAAAAAAAAAATTACTTGGTAATTTATAAAAGATCAACTGCGAGTGAGTCTATGCCCTGAACATCAAAAACTTATAAAATAATCTTAGCACAGTACTTTAATTGCACCTAACAATACAGGAATGGTAACTCCCAGCTGGGCTTTCTGTTGCTGAAATAAAATCTGACTTACATGTTGGGAGGTTGGCAGGTGTTGACTCAGGCTGGGCCTTGCCTCCACTCTCCTGGCAGCTGGAACCTTCCACCTTGCCAGGGACACTAATCACTGCTAGAGTTGAACACAGAGTTCAGTGCAGGGCTCACCTGAAACCAATCCTCTTGTGACAAGAGGATATATAAACAAATCAACTTAAACAAGACTCTGCTCCTTAGCCCAGTATTTTAACCATAAGAATCCTTTACACAGTAGGTTCTTGTGCTGTCCCTGGCCCCAAAACAGGTCCTGTCACTCCCCTTTGCCCCATTGAGGGTCATAACTCATTGCAAACCTGGCAGGTCAGGTGTCCTAGCTCTAGTCCTATGAGCAGGATTTTCTAGGTAACTCCAGGTTTGTAAGGGGCTTCTAAAAATCCTGTGGTGTTGTGAAGCTCAGTGGGTTTAGAGATCCTGGGAATGCACTAATCATGAAGTGAAGACCACTCCATATAAAGGAACAAGCAGTTCAGTCATTTCTCACCTTGAAACAGTTCGCCTTTTTTCAGCTTCTTGTGGAACTGAAGCAGAGTATAAGATGCGATCTTCCAAAGCTCGTTTTTTTCTTGACTCATTGAAAGAAAGGGTTCAGCATTTGTGAGAGGCTGGCCTAGCAGGGCTGAGGTTTGAGTTCAAGGTCTCACACTTGAGCCATTCCCCTAGCTGCTCCTCCTGATTTTGAAGCTTTCCAGATTTCGTTGTGAAGACTCATGTCAAGAAATAGCACAGGCTGTCCAAGTCCTATATACAGATACTATTCTCCCACTGTCAACACAAAAAAGACAGGTATGGTGGTACATACCTATAATCCCAGCACTCAAAGTGGATAGAAGAGGATTGTCAGTTCCAAACCAGCTGGGATTACACAATAAAACTTGTCTCCAAAAAAAGAAAAATGGTCAGGCATTGGCTAAAGAATGTGAATAAATAAGCAGCATGTAGCCTGGTGCTTGTGGCTCACACCTACAATCTTAGTTACTCAGAAGGCTGAGATCTGAGGATCCAGGTTCAAAGTCAGCTCACAGAAAAATCCCAAGAAGCCGGGCACTGGTGGCTCACGCCTGTAATCCTAGCTACTCAGGAGGCTGAGATCTGAGGATCATGGTTTAAAGCCAGCCCCGGCAGGAAAGACTGTGAGACTCCTATCGCCAGTAAACCACTAGAAAACCGGAAGTGGCGCTGTAGCTCAAGTGGTAGAACGCTCGCCTTGAGCTGAAGAGCTGAAGGACAGTGCCCAGGCCCAGAGTTCAAGCCCCACGACCAACAAAAAAAAAAAATCCCAAGATTCTGATTTCCTATTAACCAGCAAAAAGCCAAAAGTGGGTGTGGCCTCATGTGGGAGCATAAGGTTCTGAGTCTCAGAACTGGCAAAAAAAAAAAGACGTAGTTGATAGTTGAAGACTGTAAGAGAGAACTCAATGATGGTAGTCAGGAAAAAGTAGAAAGATTATACCTTATTTCAAGCCTTTTCAGCTTATTGAACATAGTCCCAGAAGACTTGTATCAAAGTTGCCTGATTCTAAGTCCAGGCTTGACACTCCTTGCTGTAAGCCACATTCCTTAGGATTTATACCCCAGCTAGGTTAATCCCATAAATACCCAGGTCACTGGACAGTAGTCCTATTTACATGTGGTGAGTGGTTAAAGAAATGATACACTGCTGTAAACTCCCCTTGCCAGAATGCTTGTCCTGCTGGATAGAACAGACCCATACTGCACAGCCCAGCCTACTCCTCCATTGACCTATAAAGCATTGGTCTTTTGTGCATGCTCACAAGTACATTCAGTACACCAGCTGACATGGAAACATAGCTTGACAGCAGAGGTTAAAGTGTCATCTAAGCAGCCTTGCTGCCAGGACCTGGCCTTGGGCCAAATGCTGTTTCCACAGGGTTGGGTCTTGGCTTGCTCAGTGAAGGAGATTGACCACTGGAAATCTTCAGTTCAGCCCAAGGCCTTGAAACTTGGCAGTGTCTGTACAAACGAAGTAAGTTCGTAGCTCGCCTTTGCCCTTAACGTTGATCAGCCCCCGGCATTCACAAGAGTAGCCTAGTCTCTGGAGGATGGTACATGTCTCTTCAGTAACCTGAGCAAAAGAAAGCCGCATCAGAAGCAAGAAGCCTGCTTGAACATAGGCAGGTTGGTCAAATATTATCTATACCTTCATTCTCTGTTACAGCCATGCTGAGGCGTGGCAAGCCCTCCACAGTAGGAGGGTCTTTTCTCCTGGGTCACATTTCCCCCCAGGGGTTGCTACCTGGATTTTGCCCAGTTCTCCAGTGCTCTCCATGCGGCTGGCAACGTTGACTGCATTTCCCCAGATGTCATACTGAGGTTTTCGGGCTCCAATTACTCCAGCAATCACAGGCCCATGGTTCATGCCTGAAGGTAATGTTTGCAGTTGGCCACTGAAGAAGCAGAGCTCAAGACATCTGAACTGGGAGAGCCCACAGTCCATCCCCAACCACAAAGGGGTGCCAGCTTTCTGAGGTGCCTACGCAGTAGGGTCTGTGGTAGGAGAAAGACGTGCCCTGCCTGGCTCTGGTCCAGGCTCCATGAAGCAGGAAGGCTAGTTTTGTCAGGAATACTTCTGACATGTGCCATTCCCCCTCCATGTGCTAACAAAGTGCCCACTCTGAGCTAGCTGGCTAGTTAGGTTTGCTTAAAGGTCTCCTGTTGATAGCCAGAATTTAGGTTCTGCATTTTCTACAGTTGTGTATTCTTACTAAAATCATCAAAGACAACCACAATGCCAAGTCACACAATTTCAACCAAGCTGCTGACAACTTCAAAGCAGGTAACCTGTACCAGACAGACTTGGAGCCTCTTGCAAGAGAGGAGACCCAAATCAGTAAGGTCAGGGATGCCGCAGGAAAAATTAAACATCCAAGATACCCAAATGATCATAATGAACTATTTTCAGAATATTTACTCACTAAAGAAGGAAAACCTAGCAGAAATGAATGAATTTCTAGAGAAATACAAATTGCCAAAACTGAAGCAAGAAAATAGAAATTAACTAAACAAGCCCATAATGTACAATAAGAGGAAGCAATCAGAAGTCTTCCAATAAGGAAAAGCCCAGGCCCAGACAGATTCATCACAGAATTCTATAAAGACATTTTAAAGAGGAGCTAATACCCATACTCAAGCTCTTGTGTGAAATAGCAGCAGAGGGAGCAATCCCAGACTCATTCTATGAACCAATAACCCACATCCCCAAACCAGGCAAGGATCCAACAGAAAAAAGAACTATAGACCCATCTCTCTGATGAACACAGATTAAAACTTCTCAATAAAATAGTAGCCAGGCTTGTTTAACATATTTAAATCAATAAATGTAATCCCCCACATTAATAGAACCAAGGTCAAGAGCCACATGGTTATCTCAATTGAAGCAGAAAAGGCTTTTGACAAAACATCCATTCATGCTCAAAGCTCTGGAGAAAATAGGAACAGAAGGAACATTCTTTAAAACAAAAGCCATATTAAACAGACCAACAGCCAATATCATACTAAATGGGGAAAAGCTAAAACCAGTTCCCTTAAAATCAGGAATAAGGCAAAGATGCCCACTCTCCATTCCTTTTCAGTATAGTTTGGAATCTGTAGCAGTAAGACAAGAAAAGGGATCTACATAGGGGAAGAAGAAATTATTCCTATTTTCAGATGGCATGATCTTATACCTAAACTACCCCCACTCCCCCCCAAAAAAAACTCCACTCCCAAACTAGAACTAATAAATCACTTTGGCAAAGTAGCGGAATATAGAATTAACCCACGATAATCTTAAAAAGAACAAAATATCTAGGAATTAACCTAATCAAAGATGTAAAGGAACTATTCTGTGAAAACTAAAAATCTAAAGAAAGAAACCAAAGAGGACACCGGGAAATGGAAAGATCTTCCCTGTTCTTTGATAGGTAAAATAAATACTGTGAAAATGACCATACTGCCAAAAATGATATACAAATTCAACACAATTCCCATCAGAATCTCAACAACGTTCTTTCCTGAAATAGAGAAAACAACCCAAAACTTCATATGGAAAACAAAAACCTAGAATAGCCAAAGCAATTCTAGGCAAAAGAAGCAATGCAGGAGATAATGACAATACCAGATTTCAGACTCTACTATCCAGCTTGGTATTGGCACAAAAGTAGATCCAAAGACCAATACAATAGAAGATCCAGAAATAAAACCACATGCATACAGTCAGTTGCTGTTCAACAAAGGAGCCAAAGGCATACAGTGGAAAACACATAGCCCCTTTAACTATTGGTGCTGGGAAAACTGGGCAACCACATGCAGAAAACTAAAAGTGGATCCCAGACAGACCAGGAACACCTGCGGCTGCTCTACTCCCCCCCCCCTCCCTCCGCCTCTGCCCACCAAGCCTCACCGACACGGAGGCGGAAGGAGTTGAAGGAGTGCCTGTTGATCCCATCCAGCTTGCTCATCAGGGCGATGCTGAAGTCTACCATGACGCCGATGTGCGTGTGCTGCCGCTCCAAGTCCTGCAGCATGACCATTCTGCACCCACAGCCCCTTGACCACAGGCACCCCATCTTCCCATACCCCACAGGGCTATCCAAACCCCACAGAGCTTCACCACCACCGAAAATCTCCAAGCAGGGCTGCATAAACAGCTTCACCCCACCCCCCACCCCCTCACAGGACAGAGTAGGGTACTTCAGTAATGGGAGTACCTGGTTCTCATGCCCCGAAGGGACACTGAGCCCCGCAGCTGCCATGTAGGTGCTGCCAATGGTCTTGATCTTCTCCACGCCACTGAACTTGGGCTTCAGCAGCAGCTGTGGGAAGCCAGGCAAGTCAGTGCGGCCCTGAGCAGGTGCTGCAAGAACGCGCGCGCACACACACACACACACACACACACACACACACACCCTCTCCTCTGAACTCCTTGAAAGGGCCAAATAGCAAATGATCTACCCAGGAGGCGCCAGTTGTTGGCAGAGTTCTGCCCAACCTGTTTTCTTAAGGTAGCTGGCAACAAGTGCCTCACCCAGTCAGGCTGTTCCAAGGACCTAACTGTAATCTTAGCAGCTGCCCAGCACAGAAGCTGAATTAAAGGTGAGCTCAGTCAGTGCACACAATACATTCCTTTATCATGACACTGCATTTTGTCTAGCTCGTGTGCTGTGGTGCTGGGGGTTGACCTAGGCCCTCTCCTGTGCCACCCCCGCCTCAGCCTGCACCTCGTCGAAGTCAGCGATGATCTCGTTGAGCAGGCGCAGACACTCCAGCCCCTCCTTGTTGACATCACACTCTGTGTAGAACACTTTGAAGTCCGGCACAGATGCAAACATGACACAGACACAGTCATAGGACTGATGGTACCAGTCCTGTGGCAGGGCAGGGAAGAAACGGCACTGTAAGACCACTGAGCCTCAAAGTGACAGCTGCCGCTGAGCAGTCCGGAGGGGTGGGCAGAGCCCTCAGCCCTGGCTGTCAACTTCAGAATGGGCTGGTGGGGAGAGGAGAGCTGAGTCTGGCTAGGTGAGCACCAGCTGGGCCTGAAACCCAGGTGAGAAGAAGCAGGAGACAGAAACTGGGTTCTGCACTGAGCAGAACACTGGTGGAAATAGTCATGTCAAAGAAATTTCCAGGCTTGGCTGGGAAGGTGGCTCAGTGGTAGAGCGCTTGCCTTGCATGCCTGAGGCCCTGGGTTCGATTCCTCAGCACCACATAAGCAAAAAGAAAAAAGCCGGAAGTGGTGCTGTGGCTCAAGTGGTAGAGTGCTAGCCTTGAGCTGAAGAGCTGAGGGACAGTGCCCAGGCCCAGAGTTCAGGCCCCATGACCGGACCCAAAAACAAAAAAGAAATTTTCAGGCTAGGCCCTCATGACCATCCCAGAGAAGTCAAGGCCACACACTAACCCAGACTCCCAACTACAAGCCCAGGTTTACATATCACCACACACTGCCTCCAGGGCGTCCTGACTCCACACCCCTTCATTCTGACTGCGTACCTCATTTAGCTTGTCTCCAATGAAGTGGGCAGCCACGTGGGCTGGCAGGACATTCTCCAGGAGAAGGCGGTTCACGTTTTCCATGGTCTCAAACTCCTCATGTTCCTTCTTGAACTTCTTCTTCCACAAACAATCCAGGCGGCAGTAATAGTCGATCTGCAAACTGGGGAAAGTCAGTGTCCTGCAGCGGGCCCCACCTGAGGGGCTGGCTGGGAGCCCAGGCTAGCCCACAGTGTGCTCATGACAAGCCTGTGGCTGTTACCTGGGGAGCGGGGATGGGGTGGGGATGACTGGGAGTCCCTCAGCCTTAACCAAATCCTAATTTCTTGGCATGTGAGGCCCTCTGCACCCTGCTATCCTACTGGGGGCCCAGGAAGCTAAGGAGCTGTGCATACCTGTCTGGACAACATGACCAGAGTGCTGTAGAACAGAACCAGGTAGAAGTTGATCATGGTCTTCAGGTCCCTTGGTGAACAGTCCAGTGCACTGCTGGATGAAGGGCGGGAGTCAGTGGTGCGCTAAGAACTGGGGTACAGACAGCATGTGTGGTGTGGGCAGGGACACATAAGTGCAGCTGCACAGGGAAGAGGGACCCTGGGGACTGTAGGAGGGGGCTCTCTGAGGGGAGATCTAAGTCACCCAGGAAGGGGCCAGGAGGCTGGGGGGAGGGGTGTCCAAGGAGAGCCAGGAGGCTGGGGGGAGGGGTGTCCAAGGAGAGCCAGGGCTCCTTGCAGGAAGCCAGAGAATTGAGAGGCAGAGCAGATGACCTTCAGAAGGTTTTTCTCCATGGATTACTAAGATTTCAGCCATGGTTCAAGAGAGACAGCCCCCACCCCCTGATCCAGAGCTTCTAGAGCCCCCATGCCCCAGCCCGCCCTGAATCTCAGGAAGGGACCAGGCCATTGTGCTGTGCTTGCCAGATGAGCAATCCAGCTCAGAGGGCTCGGCTGGCTCAGGTTCCTCTCATCATTCACTCCCCAGAAACAGGTTGAGCCTGGGGCCCTGTGACCAAGACTCCCCAGGGAGCCCACCAGTGAGACACTCCTCGGCCCTTAGCACTGCCCCTTGGCCATGTCCGATAGGACCCCAGACACAGATGACCCTCCCTCCCCAGGAAGGATAGAGCAAAGCCACAGCTAGCCACAGGCAGATGGCAATGATCAGGTCCTGGCAGTAAGGTGTGGCAGGACCTACCTTATGGTGGTGTTGGCCTGGGTGAAGTTGCCTGGGCTGTGGGCACAATGGTCCTGCCAGCACAGGGAGAGGTTGAAGAGCACCAGGTAGGCCACCAGGGCCACCGTCAGCAGGAGGACCTTCAGCTCCAGGCTCATCCGCAGGAAGACCGAGCAGGCGATGAAGCCCAGGATACAGCTGCAGCTGTAGTACTAGGGGTGAGGTGGTACCCCACTGTCCATCACCAGGAGGTGTTAGCACTAGCCCCCCCAAGCCCCCTAACGTCCCCCAGTTCCCTATGGTCAGCAGGGCTCAAGTGTGTTGCCACCCTTCTGACCATCTGACCACTTCCCAGAGCCAGTAAGCTCATTTATTCAAAGCCATAGCACATGAAATTATAGGTGCTGTGTAGAGCTCATGGGCCAAGGGCAAGGCTGCTATGGGCTCACCTGAACAGCCTCCTGCCTCCTGCATTCTGCCATGAGCCTGCCCTCCCCAAAGCGTAGCCCTGCCACATTCCTCCCCTGCCCACATCATGCTGCAGAGAATCCTCCAGCCTGATGGTCCTGCTCCACCCTGACCCGGACCCCACTTCCTAATTCTCCCTCACTCCCTTCCCAAGTCACAAACCCCTAAACCCTACCAAGGCAGCCACCCTCAGCTTGGTCACACTGTCCTCTCCCCATCCCACCTCATCCCTTGACAGACACGTGCAAACTCCCTGCGGCCCCTAATGCCCCATGCCATCCTGATTGTCTTTGAGCCCAGCACTAGCATTGCTACCTACACGGCTCTGGTCAACCTCTCTTAAGACCCACTTCCTCAGGAAGAGGCAGCAGCATCTCAAAGATGTCCTCCAATACAGCTGGAAGTACACTTAGCTGCCTGGCCCCGGCTTTTCCTCCCTTGGAGACACTGGGCTGGACACAGTGCTCTTCACACCAGAAGCTGCAGTGGCTGAGCTGAGCGTCCCATTGAGGACAGAGCCCAGCGGGATCTAACGGGAGGAGAACAGATACTCACTGGGAGGAGGACACACAGAGTCCTGTCCTTGCTCCTTGAGGCCGGCAGGCTGGTCTCATTGCCACCAGGCAGCCCCAGGGCTGAGTCGAGCATCAGTGGCTGCAGAAGAGACAGATCCCTGTCAACATGCACCAGGGGACCGGGACTCTGGGCAGCCTGGCAGGCCTGCAGCCGATGCCATCTCAGCTCTGAAGCATCAGAGGTGACCTCAAAACACAGCCATTACTAGAGAGCCTGCGAGGGGGGACTGGCTCTAGAAGGAGCCAGATCCAGCAGGAGCCAAGACAACATAGAACAGGAAGCCAAGCTTCCCTGCTAGCAAAGAAACAGAGGCCCAGGGAGGGTGAGCCAGGACAGAGTGGGACCAGGGACCTCTCAGGCTCACACTGCAGCGCTTGCAGGGGTCACAGCAGATGCAGCGGGGAGAGCACTGAGACGACAGGTTCCCAGGGTCAAAGATGGTCTCCTGCACCCAGGATGTGTGCCATGGGCACCTGGGGTCCCTTCCATGACTGACCAGGTTGATGATGGCGACAGTGAGCAGGCTACCGATGGTCAGCACAGCCAGAAACAGCCTCAGAAGAGTTCGTGTCTCCACCCATCCGGAGACGGCCTGCAGCATCCCCTGGGCTGGGCAACACCTCTGTGGAGACATGAGATGGAGTCACCAGGTACACAGCTGAGATGAGGGGCTTCCAGGGCAGTGAGGACAGCTCTGCAGCGCGCCAGGACGCTGAAGGCTCACACCACCAGCAAGGCTCACGGGGGTCCGAGGAAAGGAGGGGGCACAGCACTGAGCTCCAGGCCGAGGACTCAGCTACACTCACCAAGAACTCAGTAGCAAAGCACAGACTTAGCACCAGCCCCAGCAGGCAGGACACCAGCCCAAAGGACACACCCAGGGGCATCATCCTGAAAAGGAGGAAAGGCCTAAGTGCAGGGGTCCCATGCCCAGGACCCCCCTCTCTCTCAGCCTCTAATCCCCAGCTCACAGTCGCCTATCCCCTAAAGGCTACTCTGCACACAGCCAAAGGGATATTTGAAAACTAGTCCAACTGCCTCAGTAAATGTCACACAAGGACAGGCCAAAACAGGAAGGTCGTGGCCAGCATCAAGCCCTCCCCCTTGGGGCCAGGTACAACAAGAAATAAGTGACCCAACCCTGGGGACCTTATATAAAAGCATTCCCTTATTAATCTCTATTGAGCACACCCAAAGCCACAACATTGGCCCAATTGCCTCAGAGGCTGACCTCTGTTCCCTCTGACCTCTGCCCATCTCTACACACACACACACACACACACACACACACACACACACACACACACACACAGACATGAAAAAGGATTATAAACACCTCTGCCCATCTCTACACACACACACACACACACACACACACACACACACACACACACAGACATGAAAAAGGATTATAAACATCTAAGTCCAGAGGTGGCCGCAGAAGTAACAGGTAACTTAGCAAAGTAAGAGGCATTAGGCAGCAGGGAGGCCTGTGGCACATTAGTTACAAGTAAGAATTGGCAACTCCAGTGGGGCTGCAAGGCCCTGGTCCCTGCACTGGAAGACTCCAGAGTTAGAAGTCCCGTGCAGCTTTGCTGGGATACAACCCTTCCAGCTCTACTTCAGTGAGCTCCATCGTCTTCCCCCCCCCCTCAGACTAACCTGGGCATCACCAGGGCATGGACGAGCAAGATGCAGAGGAAAACCAAGCTGGCGCAGGCGAAGTCATAGCGGGCCCGAGGGATTGGTGCCAGGCGGTACTGCAGCAACAAAACTATGAGGGCCCGCCACCTGCAGGACTCCCTTCCCAGCTCCCCTCACCCCTGCTTGAGTTCATCACCTAAGTGATGGAAAGAAAGTGCCTCCTCCCACCTCACCCCCCCCCACAACGGGAGTTCCAGTGTTCCACTGATTAGCATTCATTCATCTGCATCTAGCGGCTCGATTTCTGTTGCAAAGCAATCTCCTCCTCCCCGTGCCCAGCCAGGCCTCCATTTCCAAGACCCCTGAAGAGCTCATAGACCATGGACAAGAACCAAGTTCATTTCCTGGTGACCTCACTTGGGAGCCCAGGGACAAGTTGGTCCCTCCCCTCCAATCCTGGCACCTAGCACACAGACCTCCTACTGCCCAGCCCCACAGCTCTGGAACTGCCCGGAGAACAGGCTCCTGTGCATGAGCTGGGCCTAGCAGGCTCCGGGTCACCTGGGTGTGGGTTGTTACATAACAATACATGGCAGGTCCCACCAGGAGCCAGGAGCTGCCCTACAACATCATTGTCCACTGTGGAACAGGACGCATGGCCGCAGACAGGCGGGAGAACCCCCAGGTCCTGACCATGTCAAGACTGAATCTGAAGCCTGACACCCACTGGCCCCTATCCATTCATTGCCTGGCATTGGATGGAATAAAAATCTTCCAAACCCACAGGGCAAATCCTGGTGAAGGGTGAAGGAGTAAGAGCAGCTGGAAAGAGTCAGCAAGTTTGGGGCTGCATTGAGCCCACCCCACCCTAGCAACCAGCTGTAGAGGCTCCCATGAGCCTCTAGGGCCCACATACAGCTCACCCCAGGCCTGGCTTCCTCTGCCCAGGGGCCTCACCTCTCGCTCAAAGCCCTCCTCCAGGAAGAAGGGCCCGAAGGTGTGGAAATCATCAGACTTGGAGCAGCAGGGCCTGGGCAGGGGAGGGGGGAGCAGCAGCATGAGATGGGGTGTGACAGTGGGGACCCTTAAGAGGCAGCTCTGGGGAAGGGGAACCCAGCCACGGGTATGAGCATGTAGGTGGGCCTGCCATACAGAGGACCCCCCTCCCCAACTCAAGGGACAGTGGAGGATGGGCTATGATCGCAGGGCCTCACCTGGTGGAGCTGAGCCCCTCGATGGCCGACAGCATCTCATCGTCGTAGGAGTCATCCTCTGAGCGCCCTTTGGGGGATGCACTTCTGGAAACAGACACCCCCAACTGCACTACCCAGGAACCCCACGTCCACTCACTCCGGAGCAGGTGTGGATTAGCTGGCCACAAGTGGGGTAAGAGGCGCATGACAGAGGTCTTGAGCCTCATTTGGGACAATGGAGAAGTGGGTGAGAGCCACTGAGGCCCAGGAGTGCAAATGAAGGGCCACGTCTCCCAGCTAGCATCAGAAACAGAGGCCAGACTCACGGCTCCCAGCCTGTGGCTTCGTCTGCTCCCCTCCAGGGTCGGCCCGCACCCCACCCCCTTCCTCCAATAGCCCTTTCCCAAGGACCTGGAAGTCCTCTTCCAGAAACAGCAGAGTTAGAGGCTGGGCAGAGCCTGGTGGGGCTGCCCCACACAGGGGCGGGATGCCTGCCTGGAGGAAGTGACTGAGGCACAAGCCAGCCAGGAGGGGGCTGTGCATACCTGTCAGGGGTCCGGTGGCGCCGCAGGGGAATGGCCTAAAGTGGGAGGGAGGGGAGGACGCAGTGACTGTCTGGCCCATGAGCCCCGGTCGATCCCTGGGCCTGAGTTTATCACCTCTGACCTCTGTGCAAGGTGTCAGGGACTGTCCAAGCTGCAGCACCTTGAGCCAGGGCTCAACTAGGGAGAAAAAGGGCAAGGGATGCCCCCAGCCCCCTGGAGAAGTCTCCACATGCCTCCAGCTCTCCACAGAGCTGGGGCAGAGAATGGACCCACCCCCAGCATTTGCTCCCAGTCCTACCTCAGCTGCCAGAGCAGGAGGGGACCTACCTTGGGCCTGCGCCCATTGGGGATGAGTGTCTCGCTGCTGCTTACGCTCTCGCGGTGGTTGAGGTGTGCAAAGGGCCGTGCTGCCCCCCAGGACTCAAGGTAGCGGGTCACACGCACAGAAGCCCGCATCTTCAGGGCCGCATCTCCCTTGGGCCTGGGGGGTTGTTGGCTGGGTGGGGGTGGCTGCTGGCTCTGTAGACCCATGGACAATCTGTTCCATCAATGTCCCTCTCAATCCACCCCTCCACTCTCTCCAAAATGTCACCCTGCCCACACAGCCTGCTGGGAAATAAGACAAAGCTCCAGCCTGCAGCGCCTGGGGACAGCGCTAGACAGCTGCTTGAGGGAGCTGGCTGAGGCCCCAGGCAAGGGACCCCAGCTCAGTCCCATGGCTGTCCCCAGGCTAAGAGGAGACTGGTGGTCACCCAGTCCAGAGCCCAGCCCTGCCCCTTGGGCTCTTTGAAATAGGTGGCCTCTGGGCCTGATTCCCCTGTCGCCTCTCCCAGGAGGCCAGCGAAACACAAGTGTCTTGCCCACATGTGGCCAGCACGTGTTCCTTCTTTCCAAGGGGGAGAAACAGGCAGGAAAGGAAAGCTGCTGGCAATCACAAAGACACAGCAACCGAGATACCAGCTGACCTCCAGAGCAGCCTTCTAGAAAGTTCCAGGTAGACTCCAGCCTCCAGCTTGGATACATGCCCTGCCTAGCACCTGTGGCTTAGCCTGGCCTACAGGCTCCTCTTCTGGGCCACTGAGCCCGAGACACCCTCCCCAGCCCCTGGTGTCTCCAGGCAAGGTTGCCAGGAAGAGCTGGACACAAGGAAAGGAGGAGAAAGAGCCCTGAGATCAGCAGAGACGAGTTTGGCACACAGTGGAGTCTACAGATTCCCTTCTGCCCTTCTCCCCCACAGAGACTCCAGACATCTCCTCCTTGTGGGCGTTCTGAGCCTGCCACACCCTCATCAGCAACTCTGCTAGACTCCTTCACTCGATTAGCCCCCCAGGGGTGGGTTTTGGAATTTTGGGGGTTGCTTGATCCATTCCAAAGCTACCTGAGCACCTACTCTGAGCTGGGTAGCAGCCTGAAGAGAGGGAACCCTTGGGGGCCCTCAGAGGAGCAGGTCAGTGACCCCACAGGGGCTTTCCCAGACACGAACGCCATGTGAATGTGACCTCAGTGGAGCGAGGCTACAGGCATGGTGGAGGGGCTCTGGGGCTGCCCCCCAGCAATGGCTAAGGCTGAGCAAGAGGAAGCTGGAAGGAGCTTGTGGCCTGCACTTTTGAGCAAGCCCCAAGGATGACTCACCAGCCTCAGCCAGACTGGGGCAGCGACAGGCCAGGCACCCAGAGACTCACTCAGGTCACACAGTCCTCCCATCACCACAAGCTGGGTCTCAGGAGAAGGGGTGGCAGCACTGGGCAGATGGAGGAGGAGCCTGGAGCCCAAGACCCTCTCAGCTCCCTGCCTAGGGCTCCCTGGCCAGCCAGGCTTTCCTGAGTCTAACTAAATCAATGTGTTAGAAAAGTGTCTTGAAGCTGCGGGCTGGTGGCTCACGCCTGTAAGCCTAGCTACTCAGGAGGCTGCAATCTGAGGATCACAGTTCAAAGCAGACACATCCCTGTGAGACTCTTATCTCCAGTCAACCACGCCAAAAACCAGAAGTGGAGCAGTGGCTCAAAGTGGTTAGAGCACTAGCCTTGAGCAAAAGAGCTCAGGGACAGCACCCAGGCCCTGAGTTCAAGCCCCACAACTGACAAAAAAAAGTGTCTCAGACATGCTCAGCCTCAAGGGCTCCCCTCAGCAGGCAGGCCCAGCTGGGCACCATTTGACAGGAAGAAAGCTGAGGCGTCGGCCTTTAGCCCCTACTCTATGCACAGCCACAGGAAGTGGGTTCCTAGCCAGCCAGCCACTTCCACGGACTTGAAATCCACCCTCTGTCCATCATGTCATCTCTCCAGTGTGAGAATGATACTCCAGCATCACCCAGCCCAGCCTCCCTCCAGCCACGGGAGCCCACATACCCGAGGGTCGATCACCAGGTAAGTGCGGATGTTCATCTCTTTCAGGTAGGGGTCCCGCTGCTGCCCCTGCCCATCCTCCACCTCATAGGCCTTGTCCAAGTGGTTCAGTGTTGCCTCTGTGATGTGCACCCGGCTGGAGAGACCCGAGTCAGAGAAAGCAGCACAACCCTGGGGGGCAGAAGGGGGCTCCTCCCACTGCCTTCACACCTGACCTCCTCCGCCCCCCCCATGTGAGGCCCAGGCTCCACCCACACCCAGCAAAGCCTCACCCTGGGACTCCGGCCGCCTCCATCCTATTGGCCAGAGACACATCATGGGACCACACGTCATACTGCCACTTGCGCAGCCCGATGACCCCACACAGCACATTCCCTGAGTGGATGCCGACACGCATGCTGATATCCACGCCCGTGGCCTCCCGCACCTGCCTGGGGCAGAAGCAAGTCCCCCATGCCAGCCATGAGTCAGAGTGCGGGGCGTAAGGACAGGGCTCCCTCCCCCAAAGGCTGGGCAGTGAGGGAGGGCTGCCCCAACATTCTGGTCACTGCAGCTCTCAGGGCAGGGGAGGGGGGTCCTGCAGTTCCATCCTGGTACCCCTGACTTGGCTGGGGCTAGAAAAGCTGGGTTTAAGAAGGCTAGGTGTCAGTGGCTCACGCCTATAATCCAAGCTACTCAGGAGGCTGAGATCTGAGGATTGAGGTTCAAAGCCAGCTCAGGCAGGAAACTCCATGAGACTCTTATCTCCAATAAACCACCAGAAAACTGGAAGTGGCGCTGTGGCTCAAGTGGTAGAGCACTAGCCTTGAGCTGAAGAGCTGAGGGACAGTGCCCAGGCCCAGAGTTCAAGCCCCATGACCAACAACAACAACAAAAAGGAACAAGATGCTGCCCCACACCCAGTACAGACAAGGAGCCCTGGGCTTCTCTTCTTACGCTTCCAGGACTAGGAACCCTAAGCAACCCCCACCCCCACCATCCCATAGACATACAAGGTGACCTCTACATCCCCAACAAGAACACAAGGTGCAGGGGAGCAGCTGGCACCCATGTCTACCAACAGGGCTAAGGAGGAACCTGCTAGGGACACCCAGAGTGGGCAAAGGGGCGACACCGCCACAGTGCTGAGTCAGGCAGCCCGGGTCTCATGGGTGGTAGGGCCAGGCTAGACCCAAATCTGCCATGACTCTCCTGGCTGTCCCAGCCACTGTAGGAAGACGCCAGGATGAAGCATGAACTGGCACAGCCCTGCCTTCCCACACTGTCCATGTAGCCCTGCCATGTGACCATGACACAACCTGTGACCACGACAGTGACCTGGCCCACAGACCTGGAGCACCTCACAGAGAGGAGCCCATCAGGCTTCCAACTCCATGAAGCTGGACTCAGAGGCTTCCAGAGAGAAGCAGGAAGGAGATGGAGCCTAGGTGTTAGACCCAGTCTGGAAGGTTCTCCTGCTGTCTGCCCTGAGCCTCTCTTGCTGTCAAATAGACTAAGTCTTTAGAGAGGCAAAGCCCAGCTGCCTATTTTCACATCACCCAATTCTGTGCCTCTGCCATGCTACAGTCTTGGAGTCCCTGGAGAAGAAGAGAGGGAGGGAGGGGGGGGAGGACAGAGGCCAGAAGCCTGGGCTTGGCCCTCCTGTGTGGCAGCCTCAGGCTCCCCATCTGTGACGGGGTAAGATGCCCCTGGCCATGCCCTCTGCACCTACTTGATGGCTTCGCATATGTCCAGCCCCATCTTCACACAGTTGCGGGCATGGGTGGGCAGGGATACGGGCAAGCCAGACACGCAGTAGTAACAGTCACCCAGGATCTTGATCCGCATGCACTCGTTGGCCTGCAGGGTGAGGCAGAGGCCTGATCAGAGCCAGGCCTGGACTGGGGCCACATCCTGGACATGATCTGGACTCCTTCCTGGCCATGACCTGCCTCCTGGGGCTCTGGGCATCAGGAATGGCTTCTGAGCTGGTGAGGGGGATCAGCACCCCTAGGTCCTGCTGGGTGCGGCCCTGCCTCACCAGGAGGAAGCCCCAGCTTCTATCTGCGATGAGAGTGGCTTAGTAAGGGCCTCTGCAGGAGGGGCTGCCTTCATTTCCATTGTCTATGCAATGTTTGAGCACCTGCTGTGGACTTTGGCCCTGGACTAGGTCAGGCGTTGACCTGTGCAACTGTGGGCACCCAGCCTGATGGGTGTGGGTCTGGGCACTGAGCTACACAAAGACAATCAACGCTGTCCCCAAAGGCAAGGTGCCAGGGGGCTCAAGAAGCCAGAGGCCTCCCAGCAAAGGTGACATCTGAACCAGACCTAGCAGAACAGAGAAGCACGCCACACCAGCACCTAGAAGAAGAGCATTCCAGGCTCATGTAAGGGCCCTGTGCTAGAAAGCTACTGAACAGCCAGCCAGGCAGCCAAGGTGGCCTGCATGGACTGAATAAAAGTGGGTGTCCTTAAGCCACTGGTCAAGAGACGCCATGCTGCTAGGCTGGGCAAAGGGAGACCGAGCAGAGCAAAAGTGAAGAGGAGAGGCAGAGAAGGAAAATGTTCATCGAGGGAGGGGCTCGAGGACTGTATGAGGATCTGAGATGCTGATTTGACAACCAGCCCTCAGTCAGTGTGGCTGGGCTGCCAGGTCCTGGTGGGGGCAGGGTCTACCCTAGCAGCGACCATCTGACACTGACCTAGTGCCCAGACATGAAACAGCTCGCCTTCACTGTGAACAGTCCCTTCACCCAGCCCTCCTCAGTTACCCCAATTTCAGTATGTGCTCAGTACTTCCTGATGGCCCTGGTTGGCACATGCCAAATTCTTTTGTTTGTTTTTTGTTTTTTTGCCAAACCTGGGGCTTGAACTCAGGACCTAGACGCTGTCTCTGAGCTTTTTTGCTCAAGGCTAGCAGTCTACCACTGGAACCACAGTTCCCCTTCCAGCTTTCTAGTGATTAATTGGAGGTAAGAGTCTCACAGGACTTGGCGGCACAGGCTGGCTTCAAATGGTGATCCTCAGAGCTCAGCCTCCGAGTAGCTAGGATTTCCCATGTGAGCCTCCACCACCCAATTACATGCCAAGCTCTTGAGTGTCCAGAAGAAATTAAAAGACAGTGTGGAGAGGGGCTGGGCTCCAGCAGCCTTCACCCTTCACCCTTTCTCAGGTACAGTAACACCGCTGGACCCAAGGGAAGCCTGAGCCTCAGCAGCACCTCACACACTGGCAGTCTGCTGTGTCCTCTACATATAGTTGTTGGGGACAGGTTCTGAAGCCTTGTGGGGTCTGAGAGCTCTGCTCACAAACCACCCCACCCCCTTACATGCCCACCCACCAGTCTAGAAGGCACAACAGCTGCTTCTATGCTACTCCACAGCCACGTCTTCCAGGAAGCCCACCCTGACCGATACCTGACCACACTTCTGCAGACTTCTTTAAAGCACGTAAGCTAAGCGCTGAGAGCAGCAGGAGGGCAGACCGAGGCTCGAAGCCTCTGCTAGCCCAACCATCACTCCATGCGCGTCTGACACTGTGGTCCTGTCCCTCTTGTCCTCCGCTCAGTCCTTGGCATACAGAACTTCCATTTCAAGTTTTATGCACCCTGTTCCCCTCTGCCCAGACACTGTTCCCTTCTTCCTTGGGTCTCTTTCTTTGGTTTCTCAAACTTTTGGGCAGCCATGATTCACCTAAGGCCTTGTCATACACAGACTCTGGTTCAGACCATGTCCTCTGCATCTCTCAGGCCACCAGATGAGGCCACCTGCCCCGCCCCACTTCAATTCTTCCTCTACACCCTGCTGAGCTGCGGGGCCCTGTGGCTCCCTAGGTGTGCACTGTCCGTGTCTTCCTGGTCTCTGGAGCAGAAACAAGGTCCTGACTGCTACAGCCACCCAATCCCACATCTACCCCGCAAAGAGGTTTGCTGCTGGAGCACTAGATTTAAGCCACAGCCTCGAATCCTGTTCCTCCTGTGGAGGAGGCAGCAGAGGCGTTATGGTGGTTGGCGCACAGCCCTCAGCGCTCACCTTGGCAATCTGGTCAAACTTGCCGAAGAGTTCGTTCAGTACCACCACCAGCTCTTTGGGGGAGCAGTCACTGGCCAGCTGGGTGAAGCCCACGATGTCTGCATACAGGATGCTGGGGTGGGGTGCAGGTCAGGTTAGGCAGTGGACATCCAGCCCTGGACTCAAGCTGCTCCTGCCTTCCTCCAGAGCAGGAAGGTCTGGACCCAGCCCACCACTGTGGAAGGCAGAGAGCAGGCTCTCCTTGGCAGCCCAGTACCCTTAGCCTGGCCAGGCAGGAGGGAAAACCCCCAGGCTCAAGGAACAGAGCTGGGATTTCCGGCAGACCTCCCTGTTCCCATCAGCCAACTCTTGCAGCCCAGATAAGACCAGCAGGGTGAGCTGGGTGAGTGGATGCCGCTGGGGAGATGAGGCAGGAGGGACCCCAACTGCCCTCCTGGCACTTGGGGAGTGGGCCCGGCTCAGCGGGGGGGGGGGCATCACCCACCTGACGTTCTGGTGCCGCTTCACATAGAGGCTGTGGAAGTTGTGGTCGGGCATGTAACGGCAGCCGCCGTTCTCCTTGAGCCGCTCGATGATGGCTAGCTTCATGCCCATGGAGATGTGGGCCGGCAACACAGACAGGAGCAGGTTCTCCTGGGCACAATGGGCAGACCAGCAGAGGGACCAAGAAGGACAAGCAAGGCAGCATCAAAACTCCAGGCTGACCGACCTGGAAATGAGCCTGCTGCCCTCTTGCTCACTCTGCCCACATTCTCTGTTTGCAAATGTCCAGCACTGGCCCAGGTGGGCACACAGCTTCCCGTCCCAGCAGCCCTCTGCTGGCCCAGATTGGGGTCAGCTCATGACTGATATGGCTCTCAACCAGCACCTCTATGGAGGGGCGGGGGGAATGGTCAAGCTGTGGCCCCGTGGGGAAGCAGGGCCCCCTCACCTGCTGGCGCTTCTCTACACGCAGCTTCCGGCGAATCTGGATGCACTTGACCGTGTAGGTGAAGAGGTCCCGGGAGGCATCCTGCATCTGGTGCTTGTGGAAGGCACCCGTGAAGTTCCCGCACAGGAAGATGATGGTGTTGGCCAGCAGCTGGGAGGGGCCGAGAGCTGGGCTCAGCATCCAATCTGACTTGTCCATTTCACCCCAGCACCAGCCCCCTGGCAGATGCTGAAGCCACCCTGCCCATACCCCTTACCCTAGCCCACTCAGGGAAACTGAGGCCCAGACAGGAGCTGGTCTCCTAAGTCATCTGTGGCTACTGGACCAGGACTTGGGTCTTCTCTGCATCACTAGTGCTTGTCTTGTCCAGTGGGGCTCAGACACTAGAGCCTGGGGAGTTAGAACTTCCAGGGGGAGAGAGTGAACCCCTCACAGAGCCGAGACAGAGGCAAGTGCTGAGAATATCAGTGCTGAAGCGCAGGGCCCAACTGGGTGCCTGAAGCGTTGGAAGGAGGCATCCAAAAGGACACTGAATCCCTAAGCTCTGTTGACTTATGTGTACATCTGTCCACTCAACACAAAGGCACAGACCCAGCCCAGGACATCCCACACCCTGACCCAGCCTGGGGAGCAGGACCCCCTGCCATGACAATGCACTGACCCAGCAGGTAGGGTCTGGGGGTCACAGAAACACCCCGCCAGCAGAGTGAAGGCCAGCACTGAGGACTCTGGACCCAGTTTACCCTGGTAACCCATGCCCTCCTCAGAGGCCTTAAGCTGTCCCCAGCAAACCACTTACCTGCAGCCCCACCTGGACGAAGGGCTTCGTGAAGATTCCCATCAGAGCACCGAACACCAGGAGGTGGGAGGCAGAGGAAAGCACCCCCACGGTGATGGCGCCCCGCATGCTGAGGGGCAACAGCGTATACCCCACAAAGATGATAAACAGGAAGAAGGGCACCTAGGGACAACGGGCCAAGAGGCTGGAGTTGGCCACACTACCTGGGGCACAACCAAAGCTGAACTATGGGACAGCCCCCACCCAGGCCCTCTGTGCGCAGGGTGCCCCTCTCCACAAGACAGCCTAGGCCACAATATCCACCACCACTACCTGCTGGAGCTGAGCCCCCAGGAGCAAGATGCCATGCGCCTATGACTCAGGGAGGATCATCCCTGGTGGGATGGAGACACGCTACCTCCCACTGCTGCCGTCTTCCCTTCTCCCCTGTATCCTCCCCTTCCAGGGCAGCGCCACTCCCCCCAATAGCCTGCAGTCTGCGTGTTTCAAGAGCTTTGCCCCACACAGCCACCGGCCCAGGAACACAGTGTAGCACCCTTGACCACAATGGCCACCAGGCCAGGGAGACACAGCCTGGGTCTCAAGTAGACTGAGAACAGGCTCTTGGGGATAGAGGCATGGCCCAGTTAGCCAAGCCCAGTTAGCAAAAGTGTCAGGCATAGAGTTCAAGTCCTGGTCGCAGACCAAAAAAGAAAAGAACAGGCCTGTCCTCAGCTGAGGGGGAGAAGCATGGGTGAGAACGCAGCTGCTTCTCCTGGAGCTCTAGGACCAGCATGCCTGGCCTTCAGCCCTTCTGGGCACAGGAGCCATTTGGTGCCTTTGTGCCTTCTGTCATCTCTACAGGGGGCCACTCAAAAACACCCCAGCCAGCCAGGGTTCAACCAGTGGCTCACACCTGTAATACGACAGACTCAGGAGGCTGAGATCTAAGGACCACAGTTCAAAGGCAGCCCAGGCAGGAAAGCCTGTGAGGCTCCTCGCTCCAATTAAACTCCAAAAAGCTGGCAGCAGAGCCGTGGCTCAAGTGGTAGAACATTAGCCTTGAACAAAAAAGCTCAGGGATAGCACTTAAGCCCTGCATTCAAGCCCCAGGACTAGCACAATATATATAGATATAGATATAGAAGAGTCATTCCAGCCAGAAGTGGGTTGCTCCCACTTTAGCCCCATCAACAGAGAGAATGGTAGGGCCAAAGAAGCCTGGGGCCTATCCTCCTCCCGGAGCCATGACCCAGAGCCACAGCCACGGGTGAGCATAGGTCTGCTCCCCATGTCAGAGCAGGTCCCACCCTGTTACCTGCTCCCACGCACAGGCTGTCCTCTTCCAGGAGTCCCACACCAGCACATAGCCCAGCATCATGAAGCAGGCCCAGGTGAGCAGTGCCAGGGCCCACAGCCATCGCTGCACAAGGCACTCAATGTACACCAGCACATAGAGAGCTGTGAACACCATGAGTGTGAAGAATGCTGTGCCCAGGACGGCCTGGTGTCCAGAGGAGTCCTGGTGGAACAAACAGATACTGAATGCCTGGCCTCTGTCCCAGGTGCTAGCTTTCCAGGAAGCCTGCCCAGCCCCACTTCTGGTGCCTCTGCTTCCCCTAACCTCAGGGCTGTGAGGCTCCACTAGGGCTACCCTTACCAGTCTCCTCAGAAGCCTAGCACCCTCCTCACCCTACCCTAGGATATCATGGCCCTAGGAGGCAGAGCTGGGCTCTGTGTGCACCTGCAGGTGACAGTAGTCAGGGCCTCCTCTTAGGCAAAGTCTCAGAAAGCACCTGGAGAAGAAGAGGTTGCAACCGATTCTTCCAGAAGGAGGGATGAAGGCAGGCAGGTGCTCAAACAAGGGCACAGAGGGCGATGGGAGGGGCTAGGAAGAGGTCCCAAAACTGGCACTGCACCCAGAGTCCCTAGGGCCCCAAAACCCCCAGGAGGAGAGAGGCTGATCTGGGGAGTGACCCCTGAAGGGCTCCAGCCATTTGACACAGATTAATTTTCTACAATCTATTTTCTTCCATAGTTCTCTAATCAAATGTATACCAATAAGAAAATTTAAATTGTAGGCACGCAGTCATATGTCATATGCCAAGGGCTGAATAGCCGCACCCAGCTAGTGGCTGCAGCGAGGCAAGTGCCAAGCCAAGATCAGAGAGCATGGTGGAAGCTGTGCGAAGAATTCTGAGATAGGCTCAAAAGTGCAGGTATTGATTACTGATGTCTGCCATAGTGTGGGAAGTATGGAAGAGTGACAGATACACAAGCCATCTTTCCCTGAACTCAGGTCTGTAGTAGACCAAATCGCATGGTGGTAAATGGAAGGACAGTTTATTTGGCCCAATGAATGCAATACCTAAAACCTCTCCAGACTTTAAATTCATTTCACACTGACCTATCTTCTGGCAACCTGAACTCTGTAGAGCATTTCAAGAGGAGACATCTAAGATGCTGGGAAAAATAACAGCTGGCCTGAGCTCTGAAGAACAGTGTCCCCACCCATGTGCAGCCTGATGCTGCCCAGGGACTTACCTTGTGGCTGAAGGTGATGGCGATGAGTGCAATGCAGGCAGCAACGGCCACCACCAGCAGCACCAGCAACAGCGGTCTGTGCTGGCTGGTGAGGCGATACTTCTCATAGAGTGCCGCCTGGTCAGGACCCTCTTCTCCCTCATTAAGGAAGTAGCGCCCCTTGGCTGGCATCTTCCTCTCCAGAGCCCTGGCTCACCAACTAGCTCAGGAGCTCCCACAGTGTGGGGGCATCTGTCCACAATACTCTCCTCTCTGAGTCTAAGCCTCTGGCCTCTCCAGAGCTGGTAAAAAGAGCTGGGCGGAGGCCTCCGGGGCCTGCAGCTCCATGGGCAATACAGCTGCACTCTCCAGCCACCAGGCTGCATTCACTGCACCACCGACATCTTCCCAGGCATCCAGGATGGGCTGACCAGACACAAGAAATCCTTAGCTCTGTGGAGACAAAGCAGATTTAATGACAACCAGCCAAGCCATAGCAGAGTTGTCATGAGGAGGAGAGCAGGGCCAAGAGAGGCCTTTCTAGAATTACAGTAATCCTTAAGGAAGACATTATCCATGTGTGGCTATTTACAAGTTAATTCAAATTCATTAAAAATGAACTATGTACGAGGTAAGCCAAGAGCGAAGAGACAAACGGTACATGGTCTCCCTGATAAGTGGATGCTAAATCCAAACTGTTAGGTGATACGACAAAACTAACAGGACTTAAGAACACAAAAATGAACTATGTAGGTCAGGTATGGATGCCTGTAATCCCAGTTGCTACAAAGGTAGAGAATGAGGCCATTCTGGGAAAAAAAGTTTAGCAAGACCCATCTCCACCAGTAGGCCAGGCATAGTAGTTCACCTGTGATCTCAGCTACAAGGGAGACAGTGGTAAGAGAATAGTGATCCAAAGCGAGTCTCCAGCAATTGTCAGGCCCTACCTGACATTTACCTAAATCAGAAAGTGTTCAAGTGGTAGACCACCTGCCTAGCAAATGTGAGTCACTGAGCTCAAACCCAATTAGCACCATAGAAAAATTTTAAAATAAAACTACAACTACTATCTGTAACCATAGCTACTCAGGAGGCTGATATCTGAGGATCGTGGTTCAAAGCCAGCCCAGGTAGGAAAGAGCATGAAACTCTTATTTCCAATTAATCACCAAAAAGCTGGCAGTGGAGCTGTGGCTCAAGTGGTAGAGCACTATCCTTGAGGGGAGAAAAAAAAAGCTCAGGCATAATGTCCAGGCCCTGAGTTCAAGCCCCAGGAGTTCAAGCCCCAGGACTGGCAAAACAAAAGCAAACAATAAACTACTAACATGGCACACAACTACAATCCCAATTTTTGAGAGGCTGAAGTTGGAGGGTTATAAGTTCAAAGCCAGCCTAAGATGCATAGCAAGATTCTGCCTAAAGATGATAGACAGACAGACAGACAGACAAAAAATCCAGGCCCTCAGTTAGTTACACAAGCCATTCTGCAAGGGTCCAGAGCCACACCTGGCTGGCTGCTACTGCAGCAGGCTGTGTAGACAGACACAGCATTTCTGCTGAGCCCCATGTGCTCACCACTACTGTGGAAGTCTGACGTGTTACTCCCCTCCCCCAATCCCCCCTCCCCGCCATCCACCCAAAAAAAACAAAAACAAAAACAATGCAGGTAATGTGTTGTGTGTGCTGTGAGGTAGGACTCGAAGTTCATTTCTTTTTCCACATGGAGACCTAATTATCCAACAGTGTTCATTTATTTCAGCGGAACAGCCCCCATAGCAATCGGGTAAGCCTGGTGGAGGTCAGCATCCAGACTGTTCCACTCACTGGCTTCCTGGGATGTCTCTTTGAGTCTTGTGCCTTCAGCTCTTGATGGAGCCCGGCCGCTCCAGGGATTTGGGGCTAGCCACAGGTCCCAGATAAGCCAGGAAGGCTGAGGGGCCTAGGCTCAGCCCCATGCCCACTTCAACCAGAGCATCTCCACATCTGTGTTATGTAACTCCTCCTCAGGAGACTGTATTTTCTTTTACTCAGCATCAGGACCTTGTGCTTGCTAGGCTGGGATAGTGTCAGCCCTACTCTATTCCGCTTTTGCTCTAGTTATTTTTTCAGGTTGAGCCTGGCATTTTTTCCCCCCAGGCCAGCCTCAGACAATGATCTTCTAACCTGTCTCCCATGCAGCTGGGATTACAAGCATAAGCCACCACACCCAGCCTTGTATTTTCTTAAAAGGATTCACTGACATAAATTCAAAAAGTTTATAAGAAAAGGAAGTTTCAGACAACAGAAGCTTCTCTTCCCTTCCCTTCTTTTCCCTTTCCTTTCTTTACCTTCTTTTCTCTTACCTTCCTCATTTCACTGGAAGCATATTCCAGGCTTATGAAACTCAGCCAAATGGGCTCCCTCTCTTCCCAGCACCATTTTATACTTTTTAATTAATTAATTTTATTTATTTATTTTTTATCAGTCATGGGGCTTGACCTCAGGGCCTGGGTGCCATGTCTGAGCTCTTTTACTCAAGGCTAATGCTCTACCACTTTGAGCCATAGCTTTACATCCAGTTTTCTGGTGGTTAATTGGAGATAAGAGTCTCACGGATGTCCCTGCCCAGGCTGGCTTTGAACTGTGATCCTCAGATCTCTGCCTCCTGAGTAATTAGGATTACAGGCATCAGCCACCAGCACCCAGCTTACCATGTATTCTTAAAAGGCTTGTTAATCACACCTGTGACTCAACACCCCTGCCATGCCTACTCCTGCAAGGCTGGTTCTCACTCTCCAATCACCGAGAGGTGAGAATGACCAAAACCATGTGGTCCCTAGACACAGCAGCTGGGCCTGCACATTGCCATATTTCCAGGAGGTGATCTGTGTTAAGGGAACAGCCCTGGAGGCCAATCTCCTCCAGGCCTGCCTGGGATTGCAGAGAGCAGGCAGGCTATGAGATATGGGAAGGCTCAGGGAAGTCAAAGGGACACAAATAGCCATCAGTCTGGACCTCAAAAAAAAAAGCTAGAAAGGGGTCAGGGGAACTCAAAATCTTCAATGGCAAAAGAGCAATGGCTCGCTGGCCTTGAACGAAAGCAGCTCAGGAATCGTGTCTAGGACCTGAGTTCAAGCCCCAGAATGGGCTAAATAAATAAATATTCAGTGCCCACGTCCTGAGTTCAAGCCCCAGTACTAGCACAATAAAAGAGGAAAATAAAGAGGATATCCAGAGACCCTGAGGCTGAGCAGCCCCCCATTTGTGGCCCCTGAGCCATCTTGGATATAGGAGATCCCCACAGACTCTATTCCATAAGCCCACAAACCCAGGGACAGATGGGAAGATTCAGCTGTGTTCCCTGGGCTGTGGCTCCTGTGCCTGTAGAGGTCCATAAGCCATGGAACCTGTGGTAGCACAGGTGACCATTCAGACTCAGGCCAGGGTGGCCCATGGGCACAAAGCATTCAGACAGCTACAGAACTGGTTTCTATGACAAAACAGTGATTTGTAAACATTGACAGCTAATTTTAAGAGTTTTTTAAATTGTTATTATAAAGGCTATTTACCCAGGGATTACAGTTATTTAAGTCAGGTAATGAGTACATTTCTTTTTGGACAGTGTCACCCCTTTTTTTTAAGTGGTACAGTCCAGCAATTTGCCACCTCTAAATCCTATCAGTCTTCATTCCACAAGAGGCATAACTGAGCACCAGCTAAATACATCTAACCCTGAGCTATGGGTCTTGCAAAACAAGATAAGATCGCTACCCCTAGCAGCACCCAAGCCAGGGCACCCTTAAATAGCTCACAACTAACCACAACACCCCAGGTTATCTACACACACATTCCCACTCATCTGCATTCAAGGAGGCCGGCCCTTTCACAGATGCAGAGCTGAGTACAGATATCACAGCTGAGCCCCATATCACATAGTCTGAGTCACTTGGTCAAGGGTTAGGATTCCAACTTGAACCTGCCAGCTCCCAAACCACAGCCCAGAGGCCCAGCCTTCCCCACTGTCAACCCAGGGACCAGACCAACCCAGACAGCAGAGTGCCTGCCTGCACGTGCGCGCGCACACTCACACACACACACACACACACACACACACACACACACACACACACACACACACGTCCCACACAACAATAAACATTACAGCACAGGGGGCCTGAATGTCTCTCCAGGCAAAGCCTAAGACCAGATCCAGAGGTTTACAGGAGCATGCATGCAAGGCAAGGCACACACACACACACACACACACACACACGCACACACACGCACACACCCAGTGTCTGTTCCAGATGCTGGGACATACACAGCCCAGCCAAGCCAGCATGGAGGCAGGAGCCACTGAGAGGCTCTTGAGAGCCCGTGGCCAGTAAACACTCCTAGCAGGAACCTAATTAGGCCACTTCCTGGGCAATGGGGAAGGGGAAGGGGGAAGAGAAGTAGATGGGGCGGGAGAGGGTGGTGCTACACTGGACACAGAAATTCAGCCATCCAGGGATCTCCTCCAGCTCCTGCAATGGCCTGGAAATGCAAGGTAGGGCTGGCTGGGAGGGAAGATCTTGCATCCACTGCTGGAGACAGCCCGGGAGTCCATGGCACTGGCGCCCCTGAAGCCAGCTGCAACCCAGTAGTCAGCTTAGCGACCCCCATGGGGCAGGTGCAGTGGTGCAGAGGCCCCTCTGACAATCACCAGGTCTTCCAGCCGCTCCCTCAGCTGCAACCAGGAAGGGCCTGCATACACACTGTGTGCCCTCTCTACCACCAGCTGGTCTCAACTTGCGCACCTGGTATGGGGCTCATCACCCCATTGGAAGGCTCCTCCATCCCTGGGCACAGCTTCCAGTTGTAAGTCCTTCCTTCCTCAAGCCCCCTCCTCTTCTCTGCTGCAGGGGGACCACCTCTGGCTCCCATCTAAAACTCCAAAGCCTCCTGGGTAGACCAGAAGTTGGCGTCCTGGCTCCTGGCTTCCATCCATACCTCACGACAACCTGCTGGCAGAGCAGGGCCGGCAGGCTTAGTTTTCATAGGAGAGCAGCCCACGGTTGTTCAAATAAGGAGGAGGATGCTGCCCACTTCTGCTGGGAAACTCTGGATCCCCAGGGGTCCTAGAAGCCAGGTCTGGTTAAGTCACCACAATCCATTCCAAGCCCAGTCACCAAAACCATTTCTGTGATAATCCTCTTTGGAATAGTTGCTAACCTGGGGGAAAGGAAGGTAAGATGATGGCAGTCTGCCTGAAAATGAAGTCACTGGGGAGAACCAGAGACACAGGCCTGACTAACACCTCTAGGGAGCTGGATCCAACTGTGCCTGAAGCACAGGCAACCCAAGGATAGTGCAGACACTCAGAACAGTCAGTCTCAGCTCGAGCCAGCCTTCATTTCTATCGCTTGCAAAGTCCCAAGATCCATTCTGAGCTTTCTGATTCAGTGTTTACATCCAAGTAGACCTCAGAGTCCTCCAGGGCTACGTGGGAGGTGGGGGGAGCTCTACTTAGCCATTTAGCGTAGCTCCTGCAGGCACAGTTAGAGGTACCTTCTCCCCTACCCCACTTACATTTCTATCATGGAGCCTAGGCCTGGCCAGGCCACAGAAGACCTGGGGCTGCAGAGAAGAAGAAAACCCAGGATGTAGAAGTGAGGGGACACAAGGGGATCACATTCTTCCCAATGGCCCCCAAAATCCCCCCTGGAGGAAGTTAGGGAGCTTGGGGTCAGGAATCCCAACAAGCAGTGTGTGGGCCTGGCCTTCCTGCTGCCTCCAGTGCTGCGACTGGGCCATAGTCAGACCTGCTGAGCTCCAACCAGTGCCTGGTCTGTGAATTCCTCTAAATCTGCACCCCACCTGTAGGGTGGACGGCCCTCCCACTTCATGGGTATGGGAACGAAGACACGGAGAGGTCACAGGCTAGGAGCTGGGGCCACCGGGTCGTCCTTGGTCACCTCAGAGTGCGGCCATCTCAAAGCTTTTTCCCAACAAGGCCCAGACCAAGGGAGTGGGGGACTAGGGACCCCATCTGGGCTCCTCTGCCCTGCAGGACAAGGTCCCTACCCCCGTCCTGGAGGCCTCCTCTCTGGAAGCCAACTCCCACCTCCCTCCCCCTTTCCTGCCTCCCCAGCAGGAGATCAGTTTGTTACCTCCAGGTAGACCTGCAGTGAGTCTCTGAACACCTGCAGATGGCAGCCAGGTGCCCCAGCAGGAGCTGCGTGGGCAAGATGGGGCTGCGTAGAGCCACGGCAGGGCTCTCCCCAGGTGTTCCGAGGGCCCAGTAGAAGTGGCTGGCTTGGAAGTGATTCCAGAACACCCCCCCGCCAATCACAGATGGGACAGAGCACCCACTTCCTCCCTTAACCAGTGCATGAGATCCAGTCTGGTTTCCTCTGGCCAAACCCAGCAGGCACCAGAGCTGTTGAGGGCCTGGGCTCTGGTGACCTCCACAGAAAAGGGAAATGGGGACTCAAAGGCCTACAGACAGAGGAAAGGAGAGGGGAGAGGACAGAAGGGAAAGGGAAGGGTGGGGAAGGAAGGGAGGGGAGAGAGAGGCCTCACAGGGTCTTCTCAGCCTCTCAGCTGCAGGCCCAACCCACATGAAACACACATTTCCCAGGCACAGGCGGTTTGTGAGCATTGGGGCACACTCTGTCTAGGCAGGACCCCTCTGTCTGTTAAGACAGTCTCAATTCATGGCATCTCCCATGGGAGCCCCCGAGCTTTGTGCAGGAAGGAGACAGCCCTGGGGTACTCTGGAGGGACCAAGGATGCCAGTCCTGCTGGCCTCTTCTCTGGTGCCTCCCTCCACAGCCTGCCCAGTGTCTGCAGCCCTACAGGCCTTGGTCTTTGCAGGACTTGGCTCATTCCTGCTCCAGACTCATGTCTGGCAGCCATGGATCAGATCCCCAGTACCTCCTCCCTAGGCTGTCCCTGCAAGTAGCCTTGAGAAGGGTCTATGAGGGAAAGCAGGTGGGTAGGGAGGCAGGGAGGCAAGCAGGGCCTGAGGAGGTCAGGAGGTGGGAGTATCTGTGGGCACAAGAGGAGAGCAAGGGCAGGCCTGGGCACACAGGATCGGGGAGGAGCATGGAACCACCCAGCCCTGCACCACTGGCCACAGAAGTGTTAGTGTCACCTCACAGTCAACCCCATTTTTCTCATCCACAGACTAGGGTGCAGATGGCCATGGGGTCTGCAAAGTCATGATGCGTGAGCTTGCAGGACAAAGCAGTGTATGAACCCAGAGAAGAAGGCTCAGTACCCAGCAGGCTGGACGAAGCCAGTGAGGTCAGAGCCCAGCTGAAGAGTCCAACCTGGACAGAGGTGACAGCAGCAGGTTCCCCAGGACCTCTACCATCTCTCCATCTCGTGAAGGTAGCCTGCCAAGCCCCAAGCTAGCACAGCTAGCCAGCTGACCTCAGACCCCAGGGACTATAGTCTTGGGTTAAGAAGCCTAGGTGCCAGTCAGCAGCCTGCTCTGTAAACCTGGATGAGCCTCTTGCTAGACCTGGGCCTCGGTTTCCCCTCTTGCCAAGGAGCAGTGTTGCAGACCTCTGAGGCCCAGCTCCAGGCCAACTTTGTGAAAAGCATGAGGACTCAAGACAGATGGAAGGGGAAAGATAGGGGGTCCCCCTGCCCCTAAGGGAGAGTTCTAGGGGTATATTTTACATCTCTCCCTTAAAATAAAACATAAGCCTGGCACCAGTGTGGCTCATGCCTATAATCCTAGCTATTCACGAGGCTAAGATCTAAGAATCACAGCTCAAAGCCAGCCCAGGCAAAGAAGTCCATGAGATTCTTTTTTTTTTTTTTTTTTTTGGGTCCGGTCATGGGGCCTGAACTCTGGGCCTGGGCACTGTCCCTCAGCTCTTCAGCTCAAGGCTAGTGCTCTACTACTTGAGCCACAGCGCCACTTCCGGCTTTTTTCTTTTTGCTTATGTGGTGCTGAGGAATCGAGCCCAGGGCCTCAGGCATGCAAGGCAAGCCCTCTACCACTGAGCCACCTTCCCAGCCCGATCTGTGCATTTCTTAATGTCAGCGTGCATTTCTATGTTAGAAGCAGGCCCTAGACTCCTGGGTAGACAGGGATGAGTCAGCAAGACCCCCCGGAAGGCAGGAAGTCACTAACAACATGCACATCTTTGACTTACCAAATCAGCTTCACACAATTTTCCCTACTAACCCTCACATGGGTGCAGCCACATCCAGCCAGGGTGACTCACGACAGAAAATGGCTGAAAACTGTGTGTCTACCGGTCAAAATCTGTTTTAATTACAGAGCACCTTACTATATACTACATCCTTACGAGGGAATAAAAACCCATATGGACCAAGTAATGCTGCACAGATAAGACTTTGATGAGCACGCTGACAAACAAGGCTTATTTTCATGGAATGGCTAAATCCCCCTTCTCATTTTCAGTTTCTATTTCTATTGTCACATTGCTTGCACAATGAAGAAATCATTTGGGGGTAGGGGAAGGTGTGGGAAGCAGAACTGGGGTTTAACTTCGGGGCTTTTTCCTTCAAGGCAGCAATTGACCACTTGACCCACATCCCCACTTCTTGCTTTCCATTGGATAAATTGGAGATAAGCGTCTCAAGGATTTGTCTGCCTAGGATGGCTTTGAATGGGAATCCTCAGATCTCTCTCTCTGAATAGCTAGGATTATATGCATGAGCCACCCCTCACAATTAAGAAATTCTTAATTAAAAAAAAACAACAACAAATGATCAGGTCTAAGCTTCAGACTGCTATGTCTGTTTCCTGAAGGAGACCAGGGATCTTACCACCCAGGCCTCTCTGCAAGGGCTTTATGGGGTCACTCAAGCTGGGTGCTGAGCTGCATCAGGCACACAGTACCCACAGCTGGAGTGGGCGGGTGGCACCTATTCTCATCAAGTGGACAGGAGTGAGTGGGCCTGGAACTGGCACTTTCCACCTCACCCCTGCCAGGAGCCATGGCCCTGCTGGGAAGCTCACCCCTAGTCAATTGAGTGACCTGGCTCCTGGCTTACACAGCAGCAGCCTCTACATCAGCAGAGCTCCAAAGCCCCGAGCAGCAGCCAGGCTGTGGTCAGGTAGTAAGGGTGCTGGTCTGAGCAGGGGGGAGCTCACAGGCAGTACCTAGGCAGCACAGGTACCCTGAGAGATGGAAAGCCACCTAAGCCCTCTGGGCATGCTCAGCAGGTGGGCAGTCTCCAGTCTCCAGTCTCCAGCTCTCTCCCTGGCCCAGCCAGTCTTGGATCCTCACTTGCTGGTGCAAAGCTCACCTGGGGAAGCACCCCGGCTTTAGCCTCTCTGAGGTCCAGCCTCTCTCTTAACCACCTATCTGCAGCTCTTACAGTGAGCTCCGCCCACACACATACATCCACAGTGGTCCTGACTACAGCTGGTGCTGGGCTCCATCTTCTCCTCTTCCCCTCTAGATGGTGCATACAAATAAGTAAAGGCTCTGACAAGTCCTCCCGGAAAGCAATCTGTACAATTCAACACAGCTAAACACCTCACCATTGTTTTGGTTCCCTTCCTTCAGGAAGGGTTGTCTTAGGTGTCTCTAAGGGCAGCTTTGGAGCTCCTGCCCCTAGAAGTCCCCTTGGGCAGCTGAGGTTCTACTAACCCCTCCCCTTTCAGACAATCTGAGGAGCATCCCCAGGCTGGAGCCCCCCCCCCCCACTCCAGCTGACACTGGGTCAGAAAGGCACACAGGATGTTCACCTGCTATAGACCAGGGACCAGCCTTGTGGAGGGAGGGAGAGAAGTTGAGGGAAGAGACTTGGGCTCTACTGTTCCACCCCAGACCCTGGGCAGTTCCTGGGTAGGGAAGCCACCTGCTCTGGGAGGGGGGGGGGGCAAGCTAGAAGACAATGCCCAGTACCAACAAGGGAAAATGGCTCTGGTGTCATTTCCTGTTTCTCCCATACCATACATGAGTGTCCCTGCCACCACAGACAGGGTCCACCGGTGGACCCTGTGCCCAATGGCAGACCCAAGGCACGAATTCAGCTCGACCTCTTCCCAGGACTGTGACCTAGCCAGATCAGCCCCTGTGTCTGGGCCTGGTTCCTCTAGGGTCCCCAAGCAGGAAGCCCAGTGAGGTGCCCCATCAGCAAGCCAGAGTCACCAGCTAGCCCAAGCCATCCAATTACCAGCTAGCCCAAGCCATCCAATTACCAGCTAGCCCAAGCCATCCGATTCACCTCTAATCCAAGACACAGAGATCCTTCCTGAGCTGTCGTGAAGCCCCCTGGGGCATGTGCCTGTGGGGGCAGGGGCTGCCCCAGGAGGCCAGGCTGAGAGCCGGAAGAGCCCCACACCCCAAGCTACAGCAGCTTCCGGAACTGCACCCAGGCAGAGGAAGGCAGGCTCCCCCACGGTGGTTCCCTGAAGCCTGAGCATACTCCTGGTCCTTCACCTTCCAAACTCCAACCTTCCACGGCCCAGCTATGGGCTGGGCACAGAGGACGTGCCATTCAGCTCAGTGCCCAGGAACCTCTGCCCCTAAAACCAGACCTTCCCTCAGGATTGTTCCCTAGGGCTCTCCACACCTGTCAGGGACCCCCCAAAACACTAAGCCCCTGTAGTGCTCACCCCTGGCCAGACACTCCTCACAGCCGCTGGGCTTCTTGATGGCTACAGGGTTTGACCTAGTTCACTTCCCCAAATAAGCCCCGCCCTTCCATCCCCAGCCCTGCCTCCTAAAACCACTGCCTACCCCCTCACCATAAGCTCCTGGCACGCTTCTGCGCCATCTCCTCCAGCCGGGCTGCTCCATGCCCCAGCCCACTCCTGGCAGCCCACATTTTGGCAGGCCATTTGCTTCTGGGGACTCAGTTTCCCACCTGCATGGTGAGCACAAAGCCCCTCTCCTCCTGTCCTCTATTCTACCAGTTGCCACAAAACAAACAGCACTGCACAGGCAGGTCTTCCATCCCCACACACAGCTTAGTGCCTCAGACCCCACAAGGGCTCTCTTGGCTCCTGGCAAGCTCAGGGGGAGGAGCTGAAGCCCCATAAGCAGAACAGACCTGAGGGCCTGGGTGATGCATGCTGGGGTGGTAAAAAAGGAAAAGCCGGGCACTGGTGGCTCATGTCTATAATCCTAGCTACTCAGGAGGTTGAGATCTGAGGATTGAGGTTCAAAGCCAGCCCTAGCTGGAAATGGCTCTTCTTTCCTTTTTTTCTTTCTTTCTTTCCTTCCTTCCTTCCTTCTTTCTTTCCTTCTTTTCTTTCTTTCTTTCTTTCCTTCCTTCTTTCTTTCCTTCTTTTCTTTCTTTCTTTCTTTCTTTCTTTCTTTCTTTCTTTCTTTCTTTCTTTCTTTCTTTCTTTCTTTCTTTTTTGTTACCCTTGGAGCTTGAACTCAGGACCTAGGCACTGTCCCTGTGCTTTGTCACTCAAGGATAGTACTCTGCCACTTTTAACCACAGCTCTCCTTCTAGTTTTCTAGTGTTGAATTGAAGATAAGAGTCTCACAGACTTTCCTTCCTTGGCTGGCTTCAAACTGAGATCCTCAGTTCTCATTCTCCTGAGTAGCTAGGATTACAGGCATGAGCCACCAACACCTGGCTCCCTGAGACTCTTATCTCCAATTAACCACCAGAAAACTGGAAGTGAACCTGTGCCTCAAAATGGTAGAGTGCTAGCCTTGAGCAAAAGAGCTCAGGGATAGCACCCAAGCCCTGAGTTCAAGCCCCATGTCAAAGAAAGAAAGAGAGAGAGAAAGAGAAAGAAAGAGAGAGGGGCAAGGAAGGAAGGAAAGAAGGAAGGAAGGAAGGAAGGAAGGAAGAAAGGAAGGAAGGAAGGAAGGAAGGAAAAAGAAGAAAAAAGATGGAAAGAAAGAAAAGAAAAGAAGAAAGGAAATCTCAGGGTCAGCCAGGGGGCAGTGAGCCCAAGTCTGCACAGCAGGCCGTGCATCTCAGCTCTATGCTGAGAAGCAGATTCCTTACTTCTCTGGGTTCAGTCTCTAGACAAAGGAATGGCTGCCCACGGTACCCACACTCCAGGGCTTCATACAGAGGCTGGCACACAAGCAGTGTGACCAGTGAGGGCCATGTCAGTTGGCTCCAAACACCCTGAGAAATCTTAATGGGAAAAGGACACACTTCAAGGGCCATGAGTCGCAGTGTTACTTCCTGTCAGACCCCAAAGCTGATCTTCTCCTCCTTCACTCCCTACCAGAAATCTGGCTGGGGAGCGGTCAGGGGTGGGATGCGGAAGGGACTGCGCCTCTCTGGGCTCAGGGGAGTCTAGATGTTTCAGAAGCAGCAGCCTCCCTGCAGCCCAGGCCTGTGTGAGACTGGTACCTGCAGTGACTTCACAGGGCTCATCCTTCCCTTCTGCCAGACCCCGGGAGAGGGTGGGAGGCCTGGGCAGGTGGGGCAGGCAGGGAAGGCAGAACACGATCCTCATAATTAGGAAGAGGTAGAGCCAGGGTGGCTGCTCCAGAAGTGGGGAGAACTGAGGCCAGAAGACAAAGACCACAGCTCCCAGGGACAAAACCTAGGCCCCAAGAGCAGGGGACATGCCTGTGGATAGCACTTCCCCATAGCTCCAACCAGAAAAACGCACACTGACCCCAGGCCCCAAGTGGGGGCCAGGAAATATGCCACAAATCAGGGGTGACTTCAGCAGAGGTCTCCCTGTGCCTCCCTTTTCCTTAGGCACAGAGGCAGGGAAGTCCTTCAAGAGGAGCCAGAAAGCAGCAGCAGGAGCTCACAGCAAAGCCAAAGGCGGCTTTCCAGCAGCTGTCTCAGAAGCAGATGCAATTGAGCCCCCTTCTCTGGGTCAATAGGGTACCTATGGGGACAGCCCAGACCAGGCAGGTAGGATACCAGGTAGGTACCCGGTAGGAGGCCAGGGGAGCACTGGGTCTATCTGGCGACAAGTCCTAGGGATGGTCCAGGAACAGCCGTAGAGAAGCAAGGGGGAGGGGCAATTCTGGGCCTCAGAAGCCAGAAGAAGGGGTCATATCACCTGGGGAGTGTCATGGCCAACCACCTCATCTCCCAGGCCCAGCGTAGCTATCCCCAGCCTAGCCTGACCCCAGGGTCCAATTGAGTTTCTGTGCTCAGGAAATGCCTGAGAAGAGCAAGTGACTGCAAGAAAATATGGCCCCAGGTGTCCTAAGGGGAGAAAGACCATCTAGGATGGAGCTCCTGGTCCAGGCTCTCCTCCCACTGTCTAGTCTTTTCCGGAAAGGCTTCCTAGGGACAGCAGGGGATGACCAGCTGCAGCCAAGTGGGTCTGTGCCCAGTGTTGGGCAATGCTCAGCCATAATCAAGCAGTTATGAAACCAGTGGGCAGTGGCAAGTTGACTGGATGCTGTGACTAGCTGGGGGCTCCATGCTGCCCTCCTTGGCAGGACAGGGGGTCCCTGGAAGAAGAGGGGCTGATAGGCTGACCCCACCACCAGGTGGCAGGGGCTTCTGCCTTTGCTTCTCCAGAGCACCTCGTTTCAGATGCCTGGGAAGCATTGGACCCTCGTTAATCACCTGGCACTGGCTGTTTTATAGATTAGGAAACAGCAGCAGAAAGCTAAGGGATGCAGGCTAACAAGAGGCCTCTAGCCTGGCACTGCCCATCCTCATTTCCCAGGGTCCCCCAGGACTGTCATCTCCCAACCAAGGCCAAGCAGAGCCCTGCGGTAGTGACAATGACACACAGCCCGCACTGCCTCGCCAACCCTTCCGCCCACCTGATACACGGCATCAACGCAGCCCAGCGCACAGCTGTGAGATACAGTGGAATCCAGCTCTGCCTGGGGGTGTGGGCCAGGCCCCAGGCCTGCTGTGGCCTCATTCACAGCTCTGGGCTACACAGTCCAGTTTGGCCCAAGCAATGCTTCCCCCTTCTGCACCCGAGCCACACAGGGTGTGAGGTGGGTCTCTGCCTGCTGCCTGAAAGGCCCAGGCTAAGCCCTGCTCTGGTACCTGGGCAAAAGGAAAGGAAATGTGGCCAACCCTCAGCACAATGGATCTCAGCACAGGAGAGGATGAGGAGTAGAACCTGGGGACAGATTTGCCAGTGATTCAGGATGACCCCAAGCAATGCACAATGGCATGATCACCCACGGCCCTGTTCAAACAGAGCCTGGCCACACACCCAAGAAAGCCCCAGCCATGTGAGAGACCCTGCGCCACCACACAGGCCCAGAGATAGGGTCACATCAGGGAAGACCACCTCCCCTCACATAACCAGAGCCTGTTCTGAGCTCTGACCCACCAGCGTCACTGAAGGCAAGGCATGGCGTCCTGACCCCTCTGTTCCCAAACCCTGAGGCTCAGCACACTGTAGTGTGCACCCATGGCCTGGTGACCCAGGACAAAGCAGTGTCCCCATCCCCCCCCCGGGTCTTCACCTCTCCTGTTCACTGGGGGTGAGGGACACCTATCGCATCGAGGGAGAACAGAAAGGGATCAATCCAGCCATCACCAACCACAAAGAAGAGTGCAGGTCCCTGAGACCCTGCTCTTCCTTAAGAGAAACATCTTTGGCCCGTCATCCTACCCCCATCTCTCATGCCACGTGTTCACCGCCTACTTCATTCCCCCAAAGTCTGTCAGGGGAGCGCCGGGCCCCTCTCGGGGTGATGGTCCTACGGGCTGCCCGTCACCTTCACACTGGTGAGTCACTTCTTCCGACAAAACCCCACTTAAGACTCCGACTCCACAACACTCCCACTTCCCTGCCCAGACCACTGAGTCTGGAACAATCCCTCAGCCTCCCTCCCCATGCACGCCTAGAACCCAGAGCCACAGAAGAAAAATCAGAAGACCAAAGTTCACTAGAGATGGGAAGATACTTGCCATCCTCCTCACTGCGGTAAAGTGCTCCCTGTAGCCCCTCATTCTGCCCCTCCCTGCTCCTGCCCTGGGGCTCAGGTCTCCCCATCAGCCTCTGTCCAACAGCAGTGCACAAGCACCTTGATTTTAAATGCGTTCATCCACATACAGATAAGACCCCCCCTGCCCCCGACCCACCCATGCCCCAAGTGGAACACAGCCTCTGCTCTGGGACCCACATCTACCTGTGGCTCAGTGACCAGTCACACCAGTCTCGCAGGCAAAGCCAGCCCACACTGTGGCTTTTAGTCCTGTGGTTGAGGCCTGGCCTGGCCCCACAGCCAGGCTCACTGCCACCCTCCTGTAGTCCCTGCTCCTGAGCCCCAAGGCAGCATGGGGAAGAGGCACTTGCTCTACCCTGGGCTGAATGATAGCCCTCTGTCTCTTGGGCATGCGCCACGTCCAAGATTTTCCTTTCTTCTTTTTTAAAAATTGTTTTC